CCCTCTAGTAATGCATAAAGAGAATAAAAATTAATCACATAATATAACAAATATCAGTATGTTACAAATGCTCTATTCACAGGTATGTTAAATATTGATGTCATGTTAAATAACTAGGAAAGCTACTTATTTGCTCGGACAGGTTCAAGTGATATAACAGGTAAGCTGAAAATATTCATGTAAAAGAAAATATGCACGAAGATACTTTAAATTCTAGACTCACAAGAATCTTGTATGAGTGTACACACCTCTGGAAGGTCTGGAAGATACAGAAGACCTAGGAGATCTGTTGATATCAGGGTCAGCAGGAAATCTCCATTTTCCAAAGCCTGGCAGGTATAAAATCAGTCTGCCCAGGACAAGTCCTCTCTAGACAAGTGAGGGCCCTTTTATACAATTAGACTCAACTAAGGCTACACCTACATCTTGAGATTGGCAGCTGCATTCAGGAAGAAGTGAAAATGGCTGATTAGGTTATACAGAAAGGCATTAAAAATGGCTGATTAGGTAAAAGCACACAGAAAACAACACAGGGGCTAATTATTTAAGGTGTTAAATAATTGAGTACATAACAACTGTGCTTTTTCTCTTACCTTCAATATCATGGCTGCTTTATGTAATGACTGGTCTGTGCAAAAATAAAATCTATTTTTTGGACTCACATACTCTGGTGAATAATATTAAACCAAATACTTTAACATACATGTATATCTATCTATATATGTGTCCTATATACACACACACACACACACATATATATATATATACACACATGCACACTATAACATACACTATATCTATGTTTATATTAAAATATGGTATAATGTGATAATTACTTATATAGTAATTATGTGCATAATTATCTTTAATAAAATGCATATAGAAAATTATTTTTTAATTTAGGTGTAACAGACATTTAACATTATACTGCTACCATATTGTGGGGAATGTTTGTGTAAAAGAGAAGATAAATTATAGCAGGAATAGTATAGAAAACTCTGTTTACAAAGTTCCACATCAGATTTTCATTCCTTCAAGTGAGTCTGAGTTTATTTAAGATTTGGAAACTGCATCAGCATCAGTGGACTTACATTCTCAATAAACCCCAGTTTCACTCATGGCTCATTACCTACTACATTAAACTATTTACAGAATTCAACAGATTTTGAACTCCTTTTCAATCTCAGAGAAAACTTTAGACTTCAAGAGAACTACCACATTTCAAGCTTTTGAATTCCCCACTGAGTATGATATTTGCTCTTTTTCTACATAATCTTTATTAGATTATGAAATTTCACTTCCATTTTTGTTTGTTAATAATTATTTAAAAATCATAAATGGGCATTGAATTCTATCAAGTGCTTTTATCCTGAATCCATAGGAGTGATTTTATATATATATTTTTTCTGCTAATTCAGTGATTTGCATTTATTCTGCTTTCAGATGTTAAGATAGTGTCCTTTTCTAGAATAAACTCCACTTGGACATGATATGCCTTTACCTCTTTCTAGATTTGAATAGCTAGTATGTATCATGTTTAGAGTTGTTGCATTTATGGTTATGTGAGAGTCTATACTGTAATTTTTTCATTTCTTGTAATACCCTTGCCAAGCTTGGCTATCAGAGTTATGAACTGGGAAATAAGTACTTCTTTTTCTGTTCACTGGGACAGTTTATCTAAAATCACATTAATTTTATGCTTATGCACTTGACAGTTTAGATGATGTGAACAAAATGCCTTGAAAAACATATTTTACAAAAGGTGCAGAAGAAGGAAAAGAAAATCTGAGTGGTGTGATACATATTAAAGAAATTAAAGCCATTATTACAAATAAAAATCTCACAAAGAAAACTCCAGTGATGTCTTTCAGTGAAATCTTCTAAGTATTTAAGAAATAATCAACTTCTCAGTTACACACACACACACACACACACACGCACCTTAATTTGACTTCTTATTTGAATGGCATTTATGGGTCTATTTGAGGAGAACTGACATACTTCCTACGTTATGTGTTCCAACCCATGAATATTGTGTATTTCTCTATTCACCCACATTTCTTCAATTTCTTTCAACAACGTTTTATAGTTTATACATGTAGAATTGCACATCTTTCATTAGATTGATTTCTAGGTATTTGATGTTTCTGATACTTCAAATGCATTTTAAATTTCCTTTCCCACTTTTTATCGTTGATAGGAATACACTCGATTAAATTTCTTCCTAGCTTCACTAAGTATAAATTTGAGAAAATTTCCTAATCACATAATCATGTTATGTTAATTATGATCACTTTATTTCTTCCCAACTCTTCTAAGATGTATGTTTTTTTTTTCCTTGTCCAGTTGCATCTAATCTAATATCTATGAGGAAGTGAAGTACAAGGGTAATAGCAGGCATTCTTATTTCATTCCTAATCTTTGGGAAAGCTTTGAAATAGAGTGTTTTTTTTTTTTAACTTCATCTATAAAGAGTTTAAAGATATATTAAGTATTGTACTCCACTACCTGTGTTTCCAATTGATTCAACACAATCATCCAATATATATGAAGCATTTACTTTCACCTTAGCAGTTTCAGGCGTCTTGGGTGAACCAAAAAATATAAATGAGCCACGAAGCTGATTATATAATTAGGAAAATAAGGCAAACACAAAATGCTTTTGTAGACATGCCTATATTAATCACAAGATTTAATAACATAAAACTTAAATGTTATGCAAAACATATTTAAATAATAAAAATTTTTACAGAAATGTAATCTGAGCCCCATTTATAGTTTTAAATTTTCTAGTGGCCATATTATAAAAAGTTTAAATGAATTTTATTAATATATTTTATCCAACCTACCCAAAATGTCATTATTTCAACATAAAATTAATATTAAAAATACTGAGATATTTCACATTTTTTAAATACTAAGTTTTGATGTTCTTTATGCATTTTACACTAATAACACAGCTTAATTCAGAATAGTCACATTTCAAGTGCTTAGTATCTACATGCAGCTCCCCTGAGACAATACAGAATTGGAGAAACTGATTTACATAGAGACACCTACCTTGTTTTCAAATCTGTAGCTGACAGAACAGTTTCAACTAGCCTTAGGAAGAAAGGGGGTATTGGCACCCACATTCTCTAGAGTCCATATCAACAGATAAGCGTTATAAATGGTCTCATAGTGATAGTTTTAGAGGAAAAGTTGTCAGCCAGGCTGGTTGCTCTGTGAGACAGGACAACTGTAAATGACATCCTAACGACCACCGGTGGGAGTCTTTTCTGGATAACGTGGATAAGCACTTTTGTAGAATTTACAAAGACTATAGTCTTTTCTTAAGATATTGTACTACACTTTTAACAGATGAGGTTATAGTAGGTATCAACACAAACTCTTCATTTTGATTGGATGTACATAATCCCCTCATTTATTTAAGGAAATTTCAACAAGTCCCTGTTGGATCAGTTTGCCTGATGTCACTATCTGATGTTATTTTTAAGCCCATATACAGTGACTCCATGCCTGCTTTTTGGTGACACTTCCTTCTAAACCCAAATATATTAACTACAGTAGGACTTCTGCATAAATCTTTTTAAAAAAATTGACTTGACTTTATGGAGCAGTTTAAGGTTCATGGCAAAATTGAGGGAAGGTACCGAGATTTCCCATACACCTCCTGCCCCCATACACGCATGGGATATTAGTCTTTCCCATTACCAGTATCCCCCCATCAGAGGATAAATTGTTATGAATAATGAACATTACTGACATATCGTTATCACCCAGACTCCATAGTTTACCCTAGGATCTGCTCTTGGTGTTGTACCTTGTTTGAGTTTGGACAATTCATAATGAAATGTATTCACATTAAAGTATCATACAGAGAAGTTACACTGCCCTAAAACTTCTGTGCTCCACCTGAATCCTCTCTGCTGATCAGGAATCTTTTTTTTTTTTAAGTGGAGAATATTTTTCTTATAAGGCAATTAAAAATAAATAGTATCTGATATAAATTGAAAAAGATATCAGAGAATTGTCAGATTAGAGCTGTTTTTAATCACTTTTTATGTATGTTTTGTTATAAAGAACTGCTTTTTCAGTTTGTAAGCTTTTTAAAGTTAAAAAATACTTCACAAAAAAGAGTTTGAATGACTTTGTAGATAAATCTAGTGCTTAACAGAAGAACCATCTATGGTGACTGAGTTACAGGTATGAAATAGAAAAAGTCTGTGCATCATTAGATCAGCAATCTGAAGCACAAATTGGTTGACTTAGAAAGATTCCCAAATTACCGAGCCCAGTGAATTTACAGGTCTAAAGTGTGTAATGGGCTAATGAACTTCTCAGATGCATTGTCTAAACCTCCTATAATGATGAAACACAAGAAAGTCAAAACATTTTTGATGAAATGGGTCAGACTGAGAAGTGTCTGCTTGGTAGAAGGGTCCTTTCAATTTGGCTCAGTACATTAGAGAGATTAATTTTTTCTGTGACCTGCTCTTCATGGCCTCCGAATTTAATCTTGTTCAATAATCCTCTTGACTCTGCATCTAAACCTGTCATTATATGTTCTATGTTTTTGCTTCTCCTGAGCAATAGGTTTATTTTTGATCTCAAGGGTTGTTGCTAAATTTCACGGCGGAAGTCTTATCTATTCACATGAGACTTCTTTGTGGCTTGGTTTTATGTCCTTATCCTTATTCTTTTTGGTTTTCCTTTTCTCCTAACTTACACACATCCTCCGAGGTGAAGATTAATTATTAATATTGAATTTTTAATATTAAATAAAACTATTAATATTAAGATTTATTTATATAATGTGTTATATAAACCTTCTAGTATCAACAAAATATTTGCTAATTTAAAAAAGTTTGTTATCCCTCGTGGTAGAGGATGATTACCTTTACCTGCAGTGTCACAGACCAGAGTTGCCCACCTCGAATGCTGACATAGTGACGCTCTCAGCTTCAGGTGGCCAGGCAGGGCCAAAGGCCTCTGGCTTGGAGCAGCTCCGTGCCCGTTCCCATGTGTTACACAACATGCTGGTATTTTCTACATGGAAATAGGTTTGGAAGTGCTGATTTAGACTTGATTCTCTGATAAAGCCACTTCAGAGTTTTAAAATATTACACAGTTCTTGATTTTAATGTTTAGTTCAACTTCAGAATAACATTCTATTTATAAAATAAAAGTGGTCCATCTTTCCTTTTTGATCCACAGGGAGAAGAAAAAAGAATGCTAAGATATATATGTCTCTCTCTCTCTATGTGTGTGTGTATATGTATATATATATATATATATACATATACACACACAACTTAATTTTTTTAGTTTATCAATACACCCATGATGATTCTTTCTGAATGACATGCTGTATACGTTGGTCTGGGTTCTCTGTAGAATGTTCTCAGGCTACTTCCCTCAGAGTCCCTGCTGCAGCCTGCACTGTGAAGGCTGCAATAGAAATCTGCCTCTTGACTTCTCTCCAGGCTTTGGAAGGATCCACTTGGCTTTCAATATCAAACAGAGCATCGTAGATCCCTGGGAATGATTCCCCTGCATACTTGTTGTGGCTGCTTGGAGCGTAGATGACATGCCTGTTAATAAAAATGAATTTGTTGTCTATCAATTGCTCAAATGATACATTCAAGAGAAAAACAGAATCACTCTACAATTCGTGGATTGCTTAGTTCTAATTTTATTATTTCAATAAATCACTTGTCAACTAAACTTCCAAGCACAATTATCTTCAAAGACTGGGCTTTGAAATATGTTCATTGATTGTATTTTGACTTTACATTGAGGATTTACAGGAGTTCAGAGCAACAAAAGTAACAACAGCCACAATAGTTGGTCCCCAACTACCATCATGCTTGGTCCTAAAGAATTTGTCTATGCTTTTTCTAATCCTTAAAAATAAACTATAAATTGGATATTAGCATTTCAAAAAGAAGGAAATAGAGGTTTGAGAGATTAAGTGATCAGTCTCAGGAAACACTGCAAGTAAGTGTTAATTTTCACTATTTCAAGTTACTCCCATTCGATATAGCATAATTGCAATTATTAGTGTTGTGACCAGCCAACCTATTGTGTTTTTATCTTTTTATAAAAAGAAGTTGTGTTCGAATGCAGCTTAAAGCATGAAGAATCATTATAAACAATTTTGTAATGTTCAATATGACCAAAGCAGAAGGTGATGTATTACTGAAAAGCTCTATCAGTTCGTGCAACAGCCCTGGAGGGAAGGACAAGTTCCATACAGGCATCCTTATGCTGCCATCAGCAAACCAGTCACCCTGTTTGATGATACCCTGAATCCCAATCCTGATCGCTGGATAATCCCTGAACAGAAAGATGGAGTCATTTCTGACTGGTCAATCTAATTCATTCTGCATTACTTAGTAAGATCAACCTGGGGACAGTGGGTGTTTACCAGAAATAATTATAATGGTCAAAAATTAGGAAAAAAAAAATGTCAGCATTAGGAGAGTGAATAAACAAACAAACAAATAAATAATATGTATTATGTCTTATGTGTATACATAAGTAAAATATATTTAAAATGAGAGAGGAGCTAAAATTATATACACCAAAACATAAACATGATTTTATATCTAACTGATAGAATTAGGAGGATTTTTAATTTCTACTTGTGACTTCCTGGATGTCCTAAATTTCCTGCAATGAATATATATTCTTTTATAATCAGAAACAAAAAAAGACACCAATGAGAAAGATATATAGTGATCATATTACATATCATGAATAATAATATATTTGTCATTTACTACATATATTTTGAAATTTTCTATTTGCTTGTAAGAAATCAACTATATTTTTTCCTTACCTATAGAAAGGCCTCTCTGGTAATCCTAAAGGATCAATAAATGCACGTTCCAGAAACATCAGTTGATCATTCATAATTCTTAATAGTATTGGGCTAAAAAAGCAAATGAATACAGTTGTAGTTTCATGAAAATATGTATGGTAGTCCACAAACTATTCAGAACAAAACTAAACCATGTGTAATACATTTAAAATTTTTAATATGCAAATTAAGAACAATAGCATATATAGTTACATTTTAAAAATCCTATAAAACACTGTTCTTCTGAGGCTTATAAAACCACAGAAAACGTTATATGCACCAATAGAAAAAAATGACAGTAATTTTTATTCATATTGAGATAATTATTGATCAACATAGGTATGACAGCTAGTAGCATTTTTATTATTATTAGAGATAAAACTATCATAAGAGATGGTGTTTACTTCATCCTTTAAACAATATTTGAATACCTACTACATATCAGACACTTCCAGCCTTCAGGGTTCCAATTTCAAACAGTGTGGGGGAATGTTATTGTAATAAGAATGATTCCATATAATTGAAAATTTATCAACAGGTCTTGAATATTTCAACAAGTTATTGAATTTCACATATTGTCCTAATTTAATTTCCTAATGAGAAATAATCATTATAAAGAATAATGTATTATTTAACTTATCTCTTAATTTTTCTATAGTTAGTTTTAATAATAACAGCCACAATTTACTGATTCCTGTGTGCCAATTACTATTCTGAATGTTTATATACTATATTACATTTAACTTTCTGAGCAGTTCCACAAGTTAAGGAGCAAAATGGCACCATTCCATAGATAAGATTAAGACAGACTTAGTTAAAGAACTTACCTAGGTTCACAACTAGGACTTTTAGAGTGACACAGGGGACTCAGTACTGTTCTCTCAACTGCATTATGCTGACATAAGGAAAACAGGAATGACTCAAGGCCTCAGAATTTGGATTTGAGCTATTTTCAATATTCATTTATATAGCATCAAGAACTCAGGTTTTGTGACAGAAGCTAGGTAAACTAGGCACAAACTTTACCTGTGAGCAGTTCCCATAAACTAATGAAGGAGACAATCGAATGAAACAGAATTTCCCAAAGATGCTATAGATTTCTGAATCAAATTCAAAAAGCATTGCTAAAAAATCAATGTGGACACCCCCCCCACCCTCCCCGGATGTTCCTTGGACAGCGCACAGTTCAATCTGAAGTCTCCCTGGACCATAAACAAATGCCCAGAACACTAGAATTAAGTAAACAGGATCTTTTCACTGCAGAAGCCTGCTGGCCTTCCCTGGAGACTGCAGGACAGTTTCCGTGGTTGAGTGGATACTGTGTGAGTATGAAGGTACCATGGGGTCAACACTCTGCATCCTTTGATGGATCAAGGAATTCATTCAAAAGCAGGATTCAAGAAGTGTCTTGTAAACATGATACAGAGACACAAATGGTGGCTTACCTATCATTCAGAGAGGATAAAACAAATAGAAAAATACTCAAGGAAGTGAAAGCAGAGTATCCCAGAGGAACAAGCAAGCCATAAGTAAGTTTGCCAGAGGGTGAAAACATTATTTTTTAAGGACTGAAAATTAGCTTCATAGCATATATGGTGTTTAGGATCTCATTAAAATTTACTTATCACTATTGACTTTTTTTTCTTTTTTTTCCCCACATAAAACATTTGGGAAGGATTATAGACTATATAAAAAAGAAAAACTCCATGTTTTCATCTCAACACAACACAATTATAATACCTACTGGTTTACTGTAAGTTTTTCTTTATGTTCAATAAAATATAATCAAAGTATATTTATAACTTTATATCCTTTCTGTTTATTTCACATTTTATTATGATGATAATAAAATCATATTTTATGAGGGCATGTTCCAAGACCCCCAGCGGATGTCTGAAACTGCCCCTAGTACCAAACCATAGATAGAATATTTTTTTCCCTATAAAAACATACCTATGATAAGTTTAATTTATAAATTAGGTACAGCAAGATTAACAATAACTAGTGATAAAATAGAATGTTTATAACAATATACTGTAGCAAAAGTTACATGAATGTGGTCTCTTTCTCTCTCTAAAAACATCTTATTGTCCTGTATTCTCCCTTCTTGTGATGATGTGAGCTGATAAAATGCCTACGTGACAACAGGAAGTGAGGGAAATGACAGAGGCATTGTGATACAGTATTAGGATACTATCGACCTTCTGACAATACATCAGAAGGAGGATCATCTGCTTACACATTGCTGTGGACAGCAAGTATCTGAATCCATGGAAAGCAAAGCTGTGGCTAACGAGGACTATTGCATATTTCCTTTATAATCATCACTTTTAATGTTTACAAAATGTTCAAGTTGGTGGACATCTAATTTTTTTGGTTAGTTTCTTTCCTCTTTAAGATTATTTTGAATTATTTGGTATTATGTTTCATATCTTTCTGTGAGAAGCCTTTTTTTTCCTTCCAAATTTGAGACTATTTCCTGAAGGAAAAAAAAAAAAATGGAAATACCATGGCAAAGTGTAGGAACTCTGCAATGACTCCTAAACTTCAGCAATATATATTTATGATTTTCAAAAGTTAAAATAGTTCACAATGCAATCAGAAAAGAGAACACCTGCTTCAGTGCACTCACCATAGCAATGTGTACAACCAAGTTTTAAATCCTTACTAATTTGATATGAACAGTATAACATTATTTTCCTTTGTATTTTTGAATTATTAGTGAACTTAAAGTTTTTTAGGTTTCTGTACATGCAGTATCATCTTTTCAAGTTGTTTGCTTGTCCATTGCCAATATTTTCAAATTTGTTCTTTGGGACTTTCTTACCGATTTTCACAAAAAAATACTTTTATGTCTGTATTACTATTGTTTATATTTTCTTGAAGAGGTTTCCCAATGTTTTACCTTTGCATTTGATTATAAGCTTCATATTATTAACCATTTTAATATTCTCAAATCTAACTGCATTGTCATTTCCCTGTTGTTTTTAAACTTGGAACCTCTCTTCCAAGAGAAAGAATTCTTCTATACTTGTTATTTATCTTTGCATATAATGTAAAGTGATATTCTGAATTCACTGTTTCACCAGTTGCTCCAAGAGCTTATACAATTGCTGAATACTTTTTTCTCCTCATTAATTGTTGATGTACCTTTCATTACAGATATATCCTCAAATAGCACTAGTCTATTTTTACACTGTCTGTTCTTATCTTTCCATATATTCTTGCTTTAGTCCCCATGGATTTGATATTTGTAATATATGTAATATATAGTAATATCTATAAAATATGTGTAATATACAGTAGATGTCCACCTTGCAAAATTTTAATACTGCTTTTTAAAATTTTTCACTAACATTCTCAGATTATTTTCCTCTCATCTTAAAATTTTGTTTAAATTATGTTTCACTTTATGATTTTACACAGAATCAATCCTAAATACTTAACATGTGGAAAAAATAAAAATGGCTTTACAATATTTGTTATTCTGGACAAACAGAATTTTGCCAGGTAGAAGTGGAAATGTGGAACTCTTAGTGGAGGTAACATTGATCTGAGGCAGGAGGAGGTCCTAAGAATAGAAGGAATTGCTTGAAGCATTAGGTACAGATGCTGAAAGAACAGGTGAATCAGCTGGGAAAAGCTGGGGTCATGCAGTGTAGGACATTCAGTGCTAAGGGGGGGATTTTGTAACTGGTCACTCGGTAGTAAAGGACGCACCAGGACTTCTCAGCAGCACAGCTGCCTCTCAGAATGTCAGAAAAGATTTTTGAGAGATATGGCAGTTCTGTCTAGGATATGTTAGAGGGGAGAGACAGAAAACAGCAAAAAACTTTCCAAAGATTATTTCAGCAACAAAAATGTCAACTAGTATTGCTTTTTCATGATATCTACTACATACATAACAGACGTAGAACATACTTGTTTTTGTCCAAGTCTTGGAGTCTCTCACTGAACTTAGAAGCAATTTCTGTAAAATTCTTCACTGCAGAAAAAAGTGAATCTGAAATAGAAAATTGGGATCTAATGGCACTGTTCTATGGTTTCAGCAATGGAAACAATATAAGAAGCTGTTCTCTTTAGTATTTTACAAGGATTTTATATTTGTATGTTATAAGATGAGCACCAGTGGAATGGAAAGTACATTTATACATACACACAAAATATCGAATATCAATAAATTGATCATATTGAATAGCAATAAATAATAAATGGACCTAAGGTAGGTCATTACATTTTAGAGATTAACAGACACATAACAGATAATGAATTTTGAAAGAAGTATTCCATACCAAATGACACACTGTATGTTTTCATTTCTTGTGGATGTTTCATTGAAATATTGTAGATTTTGTCAGCATACTTTCTTAAAGCTGCAGCATAATCTTCACAGTCAAAAGGGAGCACTATGGAACTGGCCAGTTCAAATACCATCCCTCCTCGAACCTGGGCCACAGCACGGTGATACTTAAATGTTGGGTCATAAAACTTCTCCACCAATTCATATGTTTCGTAGACACTGTGATACAGTGGATAGCTGCTGAATTTGCTTGTTGCCTAAAAGAAAAACAAAATATATCCCTTGTAAGATAGCTTATATTAAATGCATAGTACCATCTTTACTATGAACATTATTAAGACTGTTTTAGTCAGTACTGAATAAAGGGAAGTGTTCAATAAGCCACTTACTAAATGATTCATATTATAATATCATCCTACACAAGGTTTTACCTAATTAAAAGATATATGTATGCAACATAAGTATTATAAAAATTTTCTTGACAAGACCTAATAGTTTTGCCTTTAAGAATATAGGAGATGTGCAAATGTTTCTGAAACAAAGGTGAGATAGTGTTACATTTGAGTAAAAATAATTTAAGGCAGAGAATTGTTAAAAACAAATAAGTAAGCATCATATAATATCATATATAGGGCAATGCTACAAAGTTCTTTAATGATGGGAATTTCATGAATGAACAATTCTCTGACAAGCAGTCTGCTGAAGAGCGAAGAGTCTGAGCAGTGAGGGGTCCAGGAGAGAACCCTAAATTTCACCAAGGAGAGAGAAGGAATGCTCACAGAGGCACAGGAAACCAAGCACATACACAAAAGGCAAGAGAGAAGGGCTTTTCAAACTGAACTACTGATTTATACCTTTAGCCCATTTTTTAAGTTCCTTATTTTTTTGATTGATATAAAAGAACACTTTACATAGTTGTGTGTTGAAGAGACCGGGACTCTGGAATTAGCTTGTCATAGTTTGAATCCAGGCTTTAAGACCTACTACCAAATAACACTGGGTGATTATTAACCCTGATTATTAACCCAGAGGTTATTAACTTTTCTTTGCTGCGGTTTTCTCATAAATAAAATATAGGATAATATCAACACCTACCCTCATCACCATCCCCAACTAATCCTGCCTAACTTCATTCCTATCCCAGTGGTAGGAGACTAACTATTTCTCATCTGGGGAGAATAACTAGCCCAAAAGAAAAGACCTAGAGATTCTCAATGTTCTTGCCTCCCAAGAAAGCAACTGGAACAGGCATTCTCCATCTCTGTCTAATAAAGCTTCCCATTCAACAAATGCCACTGCTGCATACAAGGCTTGAATCAGCTTTTTATGGTCTCACTCCGAAATGAGAGAAGCTGTCAAAGATGACCAGCACTTGAAGAAAGCCTTCAACTTTAAAGATGTAGATCAAGCATACAAACTAAGCAAAACTGACTCAGTTTAAGAAGATACTGCAAGGAATGGAGGGACACTTAATCTCCAGATGCAAACTAATAAAAGTTCAAAAAAGAGGAAGGAGAGAAGAAATAATCAAAGGAAAAAATCTTTTCCTCCATCTGCAAGACATAGGTTACCAGACCGAAAGGCTCATTATGTGTCCAGCGCAGCATAAGAAAAAAACATAACCGAGGACATAAGGAGTACAAAATACGTACAATACCTATTAAGAGAAGATACCAAAATCTTGCTTTAAAAAAAAATCAGAGACAAGGAATCATTGATCAAATGGCAGTAAATTTATTGGCAGCAATCCTGAAGTCTAGTATTCCAACACAGAATGAGTTCAAAATTCTGAGGGTACAGCATTTTCAACAAAAGTTTTGTACGCAGCTAAACTATCAAAGAACTGTGTGTCGTTTAAATGACATTTTCAGACATGCAAGGTCTTTGGCTTTCATTTCAAGAAGTTTCTGAAGGATGTGCTAAAAAAACAGGGTAAACAAGAAAAAGGAATACACAAAACTTAGGAAACAGAAGATGCAGACCAGGAGAAAGTATACACTCAGATTTTTCAGTGAAGGAAGATTTCACAAGCATGAGCTATACCATGGGCAAAGAGAATCAGAGAATCCGGAGAGGCAGGATAGGAGCCTCAGGGGGGAAAATGAAATCTGCCAGATCATCTGATGTGTTTAATCATACAAAGCATTGTGGTAAATTAGTGATAGATACATGGAGGGGGGAAAAAAAGGTATTCTTAATCAACAAGTGAAGCACAACTACATCTCAAGAAAACGCAACGAGGGAAAGTATCTGCAGGTTGGGAAAAGTGATATAAGAGAACTGAGAGCCTATTTTCCCTTATAAGAAGTAAGTGGATAATATTGAAACTGAAAAATAAAGAAAAAGCATCATAAGCATATATTTATAAACATACAGACAGATATCTGAAGAAACCAATTTAAGAAGACTTTTAATCTTCAGAGAATCGCTGGTGGGATGAGCAGAGAAGTGGGATAAGAAACCACTGTTTTTCATTAGAAACTAAATAAAACTGCATGACATCTTATGAACTATGTATCTGTTACTTTGATAAAAATAAAAACCATAAAATTGTCATCATCATCAGCAATCACAATAGGAAAAGAATCAAGACTTGCAGAAGTGTTCACTGTTTACTGTGCCACTTGTTATCGTAACTTTCTTCTTGAACGATTGGAGATAAAATGAGATAGGAATCCAAATATTTATAGGTCTTGATACTGATTCATTTTGAATGATAACGGGTAGAATGGAGTCAAACACAATTCCTACCTTTGTAACTTAAATAACTAGGTGAATGCAATGCCACCAAATGAAACAGAACATATGTTTAAGGGAGTAAGTGGAAGTGCAAGTTACAATGCTCAGGATACAAGACACAGAAACTAACTATCCACATAGTAGTAACACCATTTCAACAGTGGAGACTTCTTCCCTTATGCTTTAAATTCTTCTATTCTTCTAGCGCTTAAGTCACTTTTTTTGATTCAGAATTATTTTTGGTTATAATATATTCACAAATCATCTTGAATAACTTATTGTTAGACTTACCCAATTTTTAGTATACCGTGCTCTGCCTGAAGCAATTCCAAGTCTTTGGAAGAACACCTCAAAATCGTTACCAGATCCTAACTTGCTAATGCTTTTAGGGATAAAAATACAGGATTATTTGAGTAATTTCTTCATTGAGTACAGATTAAAGATTGATTAAACCCCATTCTTACTATAATAAATATAATATTTAGATGTATTATCTTACATAAGAAGCAAAAAAACTGAGAGTATCACTTCTGATCACAGAGTATCCACTTCCATAAGACTTTTGGGTAGAGAAAACCACTTCTTTTGGCTTCCTGGACCCAATTCCAGGGTGTGTGAGTGGAGGGGGGAGGGGTCCCCACACCAAAAACAAATGGTTCTCCCCCACTCCAGCTGGGTGTCCTACAATTCAAGTCGAATCTGACACTATCGACCCAGAGATAGGCTCAGATTCCACAAATTAAGTGCTCTGTACAAGACTGCTCCCCTAACGTGTTTGGAAGCCGATCACAAATCCAGATTGTTATAGATTGGAGGCTCCCATGACTCCCACCCTGGGTTCCATTAATTTTCTAGAGTGGCTCACAGAACTCAGAAACATTTCACTTACTAGATTTCTAATTTTTGTATAAAAGGATATAAATCAAGAACTGCCACATGGAAGGGAAGAATAGGGTAAGGTATGGGGAAATGGTGAGGAGCTTCCAGGCCCTCTCCAGGCTTGCTAGTCTCCCCGCATCTCCATGGGTTCACCAGTCCAGAAACCCTCTGAACCCAGTCCTTTTGGGTTTTTATGAGTCTCCATTACATACGCATAAGAGACCAAATCACTGGCCATTGGTGATGGGTCCAGCGTCCAGGCCCTCTTCCCTCCCCAGAGGTCGAGGAGGGTCCAAGGTCACCTCGTTAGCACAACCAGAGACACCTTTGTTGCTCTCAGCACTTAAGAAATTCCAAGGGATTTAGGAGCTCAGTGCCAGAAATGGGGAGGACAACTAAAAATATGTGTGTGTATATATATATATATATAAAATATATATATGTATATTTATTATAAACCACAATATTACAATTGTGTCACTATTTTTTTTCAAGATGCACTAAGTTGGAAAATCATTTCCTTTTTATCTATTTTATCATCTTTATTTGTAATACATGATAAAGAAGGAATCTTTTCAATAATTCAGTTGTAAATCCTAGTCCTAAAAATTTTTATTATCCATACTGTTGACTACAATCCCAAACTATTGAGATATTTGTTCTTCTTTCGTTGTTTACGAAGATACAGCTAATACTGAAATAATGTCTGTATTTTTTTCTTAGAGTAATCAAAACATTTGCTAATGGTATGATATTCAGGAAAAAGAAATTTATAGTGACAAAGGGACAGAAATGTCAAGGGGGATATTTCCTTCTCATTATTTTACCTTTGACTTATATCCCCCATATGACCTATTTAAAAGAGACCATTTTTTGATGGTCTACAGATTTAACTTCAAAGCACATAGTGATATTTTACTTATGAATCTAAGCATTGTTTTTGCCTTATCAGATGGAAAATTCTGAAAAATAAAAATTTTATTATTAGTGATTGAAAGAAAGTGCCATTTTTCAGCACAATCCCATACTGAATTCAGGAGGGACTTGATTGATTGTTTACCTGGGCACGCCACTGATCTCGGGGGAAGGACTTCTCGCATTCCAGCTCTCGTACAGAGACTTACCTTCAAAGCCGTCATCAGGGCTTTGGAGCTACACAAGTTAAAAGGAAAAAAAAGATAATATTTATAAATTGGATGTTTCAAAATTTTAAATGTCCACTAACATGGGAATGAATAGCTAAACTATATTCAGCAAAACAAGGGAGGTCTGTCATACATTAACACTCAGTAAGGATTACAATGAGTTTCTGACAATATGGGGAAATTCTCATGTTATTAGGTATTAGGTATAAAAAATGCATGCAGTGTATAGAAAAGAAGGCTATACCAAAATATTGCCAAGCCATTGTACTCAGATGAATGGCCATATTGAAAGGGATTTTTGGTTTATTTTTCTGAATTGATGGAGACTATGCCCCAAATCATCTTTCTCCTTCCATTATAAAAAAGTCAATGAAAGGAAGTAAGCTAGTTCAGGAAAGTGTTTCTTTTAATATTGCTTCTTGCCAGCAAGGTTGCTAAGTCATTAAATAATACATAGCAAAACACATGCAATATTATTTTATTTAATTAATTGTATATGTATTGTAATGACATTAAACACTGGGCTTTAAATACATTTTCTGGTTTTATAAATGAGAAAATTAAGGGAGCAAAATAGGACCTACATTGAATTCTACACTCAGAACGTTAGATGTTATGCCAAAAACCTTCAACAAACTTTAATTAATGCTCCATATTCACAGGTTATTGAACAACATAAGGTGTGCAATGTTTTTATTCTGTATTTAATGGAAGTCCTATGTTCTATTTTTCAACTCATTCAATTTAAAAATGGTTAGTACCTATGTGGCTGGAGACTTTTTGTGAATGCCAGGGATACAAAGCTCAAGAAGACACATTACATACTCTCTACTAGTGGAAATTGCAAATAAAAATGTGAAATTCAATGTGCCAAGTGCTGTAATAGAGTACCTGCAAAGGTCTATGGGAACACAGATTTGCATTAGCCTGGCGAAAAAGTCAGCTATGTCAATGTCTTAACTTGTAAAATATGAGTAAATAAAGCAACAAAATAACGTCACTCAAGCTTATAAATTCACACAAAACTTTGACGTAAGGGACAATACCACTTGATCTATTCTAAGAAATGCAAATCTGGAATATTATAGAAATCTATTACTAAATTCTCAGTTTATTACTAAACTTTGAAATGCTATAAACAAAACAAAAAAAAAGAATAAAACAAAACTAAAAATTGTCAAGCATCACATAATTTCAAACCTAACCCAAAGAGTAGTGTTTTTGCAATTATCCTGGGGTGACATGAACACAACTAGTAAGCAAATACAACGGCCATTCTTGGCATTTACCTTGAATTGCATGCATGGCGCTAACTTTCTGAAGTGCCTGTTTCAGACATTTACATTTTTACACATTCCATGAAAATCAATAAAACTGCAGGCAAATGGCATGAATAGATTTTTTCAAATGAATTTTTTTCTATTCCTATAGAATTTGTAAGATTAAAGTCTATGCTTTCGAAATTAAAAGATGTCATATTTAAAAAGCTTAGTCTTGGTGATAGTTAAGTCTTATTTAAAAACCCTATCTGAAGGGAAATCATTTTTCTTGGTAATTGTACTTCAATTGGTAATTGTATTAAATAGGTAAATCTTTTTTCCCTTCCCAGTTCAAATCACTAAATTGGTGGTAACAACAAAAATTGGCCATGCAAAGACTTGATCATTATGGCTAACTTGAGGGCCAGTGGGTCTATGGGGCAGAAGAACTAAAGCGTTGCCTGGCCGTCCTCTCAGAATTCGGGTAATACCTCTTCACCAGGTCCAGTATCTTGCGCTGCTGTTGGACCAAGATAACCCGAGCTCTCAGCCGGGCCCAGTGTAACTCAATGGACTGTAGTGCAAAGCAATGAGACAGGAAGGGAGGTCTGCGGTCTCACCCAGCCTCTGCCCAAACTGATCTGACCCCGGGAGAAAACATTCGGTGTTTTATGCATACTTTCTCAATCAGTTCGAAACTCGAACTCTTCCTGCATCCTGAGTTCACTGGTTATCACTGTATTAAGATGTATAAACCCGTTTTGAAATGAAGGAATTCAATGACAGGACCAAGTCCTAATTCAGCTACTGTATAAACTGTGTAACTGTGCAAGTCCTAATTCAGCTACTGTATAAACTGTGTAACTGTGGTGGCCAATGCTTTTTTGAGTCCAGTTTTCTAGTTTCTATAAGGGGATGACAGATGGGTGAGGTGGGGAGAAATGGGGTAATGTGTGTAAAGAACTTATTAGACATACTGTTCTATGGAGTGGCTATTTGCTACACGAAAAAAAGACCAGTCATAAAGCAATGCAGGAGCTTGACATGACAATAGTACTTCAAGAAACGTCATTTATAGAACTCAGATTTTCTAATATTATATGTAATTCTTTTTACCTCCTTTGTTAGGCTGTATACCAAGTGGTACATCAGTGGGGTGCAATCAATTCTCAGAGTGTAATTTCCTGAAAGATAGAGATTTTTTTTTTACTTCATTTCTTTATTTTTTATATTGTTCAAAGACCACTACTAACACCTTAGCCAGACTGATCCTATGAAACCTAAGCCTAGTCAAAACTTTCTAATTCATCACTTAATAAAACCCATCCTCCTCACCACGGGCCTCAGTGCCAACAGGAAACAACTCCTGGTCACCTCTCCAAATCTTCACCTCCCACTCCGCCCAAGCAGACTCCTCTTCAGGGTCTTTGCATGTACTGTCCCCTCAGCTTGGAACAGTGCCCTGCATTATGTCTGCATAACTTACTCCCTTACTTCACTTACACCTTAAAATAACATTTTCGGAGAGTTTCCCCTGAATGCCATACATAAAAAAGCACAGTCTCCTCTCTTTATCCCAGCAATGCTTTCTCTCTTGACCTTGGCTATTTTTTTCCTTATCATCTACCTAACATGCTGAATGTTTGTCTTTTTTATTTTCCATCCTCCCACCAGACTAACATGGAGTAGGAATTCACTGGGAGCAGGAATTCTCTTTCATTTACTGCTCTATCTCCAGGGCTTGGAACCATCCTGGCATTTAGCATTTACCCAGTAAATATTTATTGTAAAAATACATTTGCAAGCCACGTGCTTTCCAGCTGGTTCTGAATAGACAGCAGAGATGGCATCCCCATTCCTGAGGAATTCTATGCCTCATGAGTTTGAGAGTCTAGCAAACCAGCCAGGAGAGGAGGGGCCCTTGGGAAGCTGTGGGAGCACAGGGAGGGGAGGCTAAATCAGGATGGGGGCCTGCGGAAGGGAAAGTTAAGACAACTTCATCAAGGAATACCCTATACAATGCCCAGCATTGCAAACATCCACGGAGCACTCAGAGAATGGCAAGCAGCTCTCATCCCAAAGCTTAAGATCCCTGTCTGGGAATTGCAAAAGTCCAATCTTTAAAAAGAAGTAGATACCCAAGCAGAATTATTCATGGAACTTGAAAAGCTGATACGAAAATTCAACTGGAAGAATAAATATATACAAATAGCCAATGCAACTTTTGAAGCAGAAGAATCACTGGTGAGAGTATAAATCAGAGGGGCAGGGGAGGTAGTTTGGTGGCATTTACCACAGTGCAATGTACACAGCCTACCCATGACTAGGCAATGATACTTGTGGCTCTGCTCTCTACCCTCTCCTTATATAGACAAAGGCAGGCAAATAAAAAACACATTCATGAGAACTGAAGCAATCTGACCATCAGTAAGAGCACTGATGCATAAATTGCTCTGTTGAATACAGTATAAGTCTTATTTTCAAACAAAGTAGATCTTTACACATCGAGAACTTTTCCATAAAATGTTGTTGAATGAAAAAGGCAAAGTGCAGAAGCATTTAACCGTAACATACCAGAAGCTATGCCTAAAGGAGCGACGAGCCACAGAATGTACTGGTTAGAAGGATAAAGTTGAAACAATCGGTTTGAGTTTCAGCTCGATCCTTTACTACCCATGTGACCTTGGGAAAGTTTTTTAATCTCTCAATCTCACTTTCCTCTTAGACACAAAGGAGATAATGAGGGACTTATCTTAAGGGTTATTGCCAAGTATTACATAAATTTTTACATGTAAAACACTTAAGACAGTACCTGCTACACTTACTGGTACTTCGTGTGAGCTCAATTCTAGATATGAATGTCAATGTGATGGAAACCCCCCGAACAGTAGTACCTTCAGAGACATGGCTAAATTTGAAGTAGGGATTTTTGCTTTCTTTGTAAATTTTCCATTTTAACATGAGAAAGCCAATATATCACTTATCGGATTATTTGATAAATGAACACTTAATGAAATTTTAAATATAAAATGAAGTACCAGAGATGGAGGTGAGAAAATGGAGACACAGAAAGGAAAAACCTGCAGTCACACAAATAGGAAGCGGTGGTGACAGGAGGAAGGTCAGGCCCTTAGCCATGAACCTAAGAGAAGCAAAGGACAACTGAAATGTACTGTGTAAACTATAGGGGACGATGGAGTTGAGACATGCAGACAAAGAAGAAAATGTAAATGCCAACATGCCTCCATCAAAATGCCATGTCTCGATCACTGTTGACATGGCAAATTTGCTAATGCACTAAAGATCTGAAAAGTCCACCTTTCAATTATTTGTTGCACCTATGTAACAAATGTTTATTTAATGAGACATCGGGAATCCAGGAGTTATCAAGCAAGATCCTGTCTGCTCCTTGCTGAGTATATAGTTTAGTAAAGGAGGGGATGTGGCTTCTCTGAAAAAGTAACATTTCAGGGGAGACCATAAGAATAAGAAACTGTACAACAGCAATCTGAATACAGAGATCAGCAGTTGCAACGGCTGGGAAGTTGCACATGGTTAAAAACAGAAAGATTAATGAGTGAGTCTGGAATGTAGTGACAACGGATTGTTTGATCTTCTTGCAAACAGACCTGGGATTGCCCTTCAGTCTGAATCTGCTTATTAAAAGCAAATCCATTCTTAAAGACCTGTCTTAAAAATCTCTCTCATTTCTCAAGCCTTTCCTGAAGTTGCTGTTATTCTCTCCTCTAAATTCCAGACTAGTCAGATTATATGCTTCTTCTAATATATACAATGTCTTGAACCCAAGCACAAGACTGTTGTTTACTAACCTCTGATTCTTTTGAAATACTGGAAATTTCACTGCATAGAGAGATTCTCAGTAAATATTTGTTGAATTGAAAAAAAATTTAAGAAGATAAATACTCGGTGAAAGATGAGATATTGGATATCAGCATTGTTTCAAAATGTGTATGCATGTGTGATATGATGATGAAATAGGGGTTAAGTCAAATTAGACTTTTTTCTTGCTACCTCCCTCTAAAATCATAGAAACCTGTAGTTCCATGATTTACTTATTCATTTAATAGGTCTTTACTGAATTCCTACCATATATGAGGTAATCTGCCCGACGAAACAAATCAGAACTGCTTTCCCAAATCAGTACTCCAGGGATCATGCTGCAGACTGCCTAACCACGTGTTAATGGATTTGTCTTCCTAGTTAGTGCATAATTTATGAACTGCTACTACCATTTTCACACCTTTTCCTATGAGACCGATGATATTCACCTTCAATAGAAGAGTCAGCATTAATATAGGCCACACCACGCTCTTGAAGGAGTCTGGAATTCTCCTTTAATAAAAAGAAAGAAAGCCATAAACATGTAGTCATAACCTCCCCCTAAAAAATGCCTATCTATACCTGCTATCTGCAGATTTCTGATTTAAAATGGCCCAAGTTAACCACAAATTTGATATATAAGGTTCTGAAAAGAGAGTTTAAAGAATTCCAATAAATATGAATGGAAAGAAATAACAAACAAAACATTTTTAAGACTAAAATTTAAGATGAAACTGTCTACACGCTTAATGTGGTAAATGGAAAAGGAGTTGATTTCTTAACTACTCTAGTTTATTCCTCAGGAAATTCTCTTAGCAAATGAACGATTCAAGAAACCCTTTTGGTAGAAGAATTCCTATGGACATCTAATTATTTAAGTAGAGAATCTTGTCTGATTCACAGGGAACGAGCTATTTCAAATTCACAGATTAAAAATACCTGGTTAAATCAGGTCTTTGGACCCTGAAACATGAAGGTAAATCCTCCTGTAGGATGGCACCACCTACTGGTCAATATTAATCACTGCACAGCTTTAAAACAGGAGCAGTTTTTAAAATATAAAGTGGATTCTCTATCTCCAAAACATGCAAAATAAGCATCTAGACTGTAAGAAAGAAAGTCGGAAAAACATGCAACTCTAGATGACAAAAAAAGCTAAGTCATCCTCAAAATATTTAGGCTTTTCTGATGCCAGCATAAATCTTTCTTGTCTGCGGGAGCACCAGGCCTATTAAATATTCTGTTGGGAATTTCTGCTTCACTTTTAGCATGATTTAATTTAGAGCAGATCATTATGATATGAGGAAGACAAATGTGAAAGGTGTATCTTACGGTACAAGCTCATGTGGTTACCATTAGGAGAAAATTTGGAAAAGGTAATAGAAACATGCTATTGTATTCTGATGTTTGGTTTCTAGTGACTTTCTTATTTACTATCACAATTCCCAGAAAATGAAGATAAATAATTTTGACAGTTGACATTAAGTGGCTTTAAATGTTCAAATGAAACAATTCTTTAGTTGATGGGAGATTTTTATTGTCGGTTTTTGAACAGGTTATGTTGTTTCACATTTTCTGGAAAAAAGCTTGAACTTCCTCACTGGATTTATGTGTCAATTACATCTCTGAGAATTAATTCCTAAATGCTTTATTATTATGAAAATATATATTGTAGCAAATTACAACGAACCTCTGCCCACTCAGTAGAACCAAGGAGACCAAATTCTTCTGCATCCCAGCTTGCAAACAAGATTGTTCTTCTAGGCCTCCACCCTAAAATACATATGTGTACACATAAATGCTGGGAAAATGCATAATGTAGCCAAGACATTGCCCCAACAGAAAAACAAAAGATAAACTTCATTAGCTGTTTTGGAAGGGTGAAATATGGGGAGATTCTTTACTTATGTAACTGCTTTTGTAATATTTTCAGCTGGTTTGTCAATACAAAACAGCATATTTGTAATGAAAAGGAGAAAAACATAGACATAGTAAACATTGTAGGAAGTCATAAAATATTCTAATAGATTTATAATGACTGGATATGCACAGGAAGCCAGCTGGGCTCCTAAATGAAAGAAGAAAATGCTAGATGTGTTCTGTGTTCGGAGAACAGACACAACTGAGAAAAAAACCCTCTATGACACTTCCATGTTGCTTTGGTATCACACAAACAATTGCTCAGTGTCAGTGGGTTGAGTAATATCATTCCACTCTCTGCCAGAATTACTCAATGAGGCTCAGTTAGCAAGAACAGTAATTTAGTAGCGAGATTTTAGGCCTGAAGTTAAAATCGACTTTACTTCAAATCCCGGTTCTTTACTTACCAGCAGTATGACCAAGAGAAGGTTGTTCAAATTGACTAAGCTTCCCCCTCTTTATCTGTACCCCAGGAATAGCAGAGTAAAGTAATGAAGAAACTACTTAATCATTGGAGGGATTAAGTGGAATAATCTTTACAAAAAATACAACACTTAATAAGTTCTCCTAAAATTGTAAGTTGTCATTACTGTAGTAAATATTTCATTTGTGTTCATTAAGCATGTGTATTCCTGAGTCCAGTGTTCTATTTCTTTCGTTTGCTAATGGTATTATTCATACTTGCTATTGATTATTATTCCCCATCATTTCAATCCTTGGGTGTACTCTGTCACTGTCACTAAGATGTTTTGCATTTACCACAGAATCTTTCAAAATCATGAAACAAAAAGATTTGTAATGATATTAAACACTATCAAATCCATGAGCTATGTAGATTCAGGTCTCCATAGTTTTCTAAAAATATAAGATAGCTGTGTAGAAAAAAGAGAGCACATTTACATTTTATTTTAAAGAGATACATCATAGTTTTGTGGACCAGTAGCCAGATATGTGAGTTTAAGTCCCAGTTCTCTGACTCTGACACACTCTAGTTATGTAACCGTGGGTGAATTACTTGATTCTGTAAACCTTGGTTAGCTTATTTTTAAAAAGAGGACAAAAATTACCAAGTAAACTTCTCCCTCACTGTTATGTATTCAAAAACACAACACATGTAAAAACACAGTTTCTCTGAGGAAACGAGCACCATCCATACAAAATTAACATATTTCTACCATTGTTTTTATTGTCGCTCAAAAAATAGGGATTGCAATTACAGCCCCCAGACTGTTCGAAGGGCCAGTAAACAGAGTGGTCTTTCTCCTCTATATGCGCAATGATTATTTTTTAAAGCAATCATTTGAACTAAATGTTATCTTGGTTTTCATAGGAAGAGTCTAAAATGACTGAAGTAATGGTGCTAGAGCATAAACCTAAATTTTGGGCAAGTGCACAGAGGTTGGGGGTGGGAGAATGCAGACATCAAGATTTGGGTAAGATCCTATTAGGCAGCAAGACCACTGTTTTCTGAATAAACTTCGATTTCTGACCAGCACACTCTGGCTTATGATCTAATTTTGGAGTGTCCTGTCTGAAGAAACTCAGCTCCATCTTCTTAGTTGCCAAGAGCAACTGCTAACAGTATAATTCTTTTATTTAAGGTTATAATTTTATATATAACTACCAATATTATAAATATTAATATATAAGTTCATGCAAAAGTAAACAATATAATTAACCAACCCGAGTAACATACCCACTAGTTACTGAAAGCTGCCCTATGTAAGTACTGCTAAGTACTCACTCCTAATAAGCTGATGTAGTTTGCATGTATCTTCTCAAACGATCCTTCACACAGACCTATGAGGTGGTGGTTTCCTATACTCACTTTACAGAAGACTACACTGAGATTCTGAGAGGTTGGTCTTTTTACTTGCTGTTTATGTTACCTTCTTTTTTCAGTGTTCCAAAACTCCTCACAATTTCATGTACAACAGCTGCTCCACTCTGAGGGTCAATGCCACCAAACACCCATGAGTCACGATGACCTCCGAGAATGACATATCTGTCTAGAAAGCAGTGTTGCAAAATTACTTATTGTCATTCCATGTCAATAACAGAGCAAATTGCAATGAATCAATAGCATCGAAACACAGAGCACTCATGACTCTAAGAAAGATAGCAAGGTTCTTGAGGACGGCTGTAAATACATTATTTTATTCCGATTTTGATAGATGAAGAAATTACAAATGGGATAAGAAACTATTCAATATATTACAGTAACTGTAAGTATATAAGTAATGATAAGTATACATTATGTTATCCACTTCTTTATAAAATTCTCTATTACTCTTTTACTCACCCCTGTGCGTGCAGTATTTTCAGAGCACAAGAACACAGTGGTTACAAAGCAAGTTCTCCACTTCCTATTCTTTTTATTCAATTTTTAAGGTATAGCTAAGACTTTACCCCTCAATGAAACTTTACTGCTTTCCACTGGGGGAGGGAATTGCTCCACTATCCAGCTCTCAGGACAAACCTTTCCTATCTGATAAAGTATTTACCACACGAACGTGTATGGCTCCTTGTTTCTAGTCTGTGTCTTTTTTTTTTTTTTTAATCCCTCCTTTTCCAATGCCTAGCACAGAACTGGCACAGAAAAGGTGCTCAGTAAGATGCAATAAACAGCCAGTGACATATTATTTAGTACTCATTGGAAGCATATCAATATTATTTCTCCTGACAGAAAGCACTGGCTGCTTGTAAAAAAGACATGCACTTTAACTATACCTGTGTTTATAAGAAACACATAACCATGTAATTCCTAAGGGACTGAAACATAATGAAGTAAGGCTATTTATGAAATGTATGAGTCATCTGAAATCCTATGGAAACCATGTGTTTATATATTTCACTGATTTCCATGGAAAATAAAACCATGTGAAGGATTCATTACTTCTAGGTTGCCTTAATTTTCTAAGTGTTATCTCTTCTGTAGATGTTTATAGTTATTCAGAAGATATTTCCTCACGTAAAACATCGTAAGTAAATTCAGAAAACAGAGAAAACACCTTGAAACGATCTCCTCCTGCCCTTCCTTCCTTGGTCCTTTAATGGAAGCATGTGCAGTTTATCCTAACCATGGTCATCTGAGCAACCCCAAGATTTCCCTTTCTTCATAATGTGCATCGGTATTCAAAATTGCCTCATTTTCATGTATTTTGTGTTCATGTACATTCCACTGGGGCTGAGGGGTGCTTTCTTTGGTTCACCCTACATTCTCAAAGCTCAGAACAGTACGCAACACGGAAGAATTGCTCAAGTGATATTTGCAGAGCAAATGATTCATTTACCTGGCTCTACAGCTCCTCTGAGAGTCCCGATCACATTGTAAATTCTTGTCACTTTATTGTTGGAATGGATGTGCATCTTGACTTTTCTAATGAAAAACAAAGCTCACATTCTAAAAATACTGGTTAACAGTTTGCCACCCCCAATTTTTAAATCATACGTCATTTTAACAACTTCTGTACACGGGCAAGAATTACATCGGCCCATTGTCCAACTTCAATGACGTAAGCATATTCCCCTCTCCAACCTGTGGTTTCATCTCCTGCTGGTACTAGACAATTCACTTCTGCAGGCAACCTCTGTAATTGTTTTTTCAAAAAGGTTTTGTCCCCCTAAAGAGAGTTATAATAAAAACCGTCTCTTAACTGTGTAGAAAAGTTGCCAGTAAAACCAGGTCCAACATTGTAGGGCACTTGGAGGTGTCCTTTCCAGCTGCTGTCTGGTGGTGCAGACCCCCCCATTTTTCTGTTGAACACAAAAAGTATTATTAGGTGAAAGAAACTTTGAAGTTATAAGTTAAAATGCTAATGAACTTGCTTTCTTGAGTGCCTGCTTATAACAACAGCGTCTGTAAGTCTGGGATCGTGCGAAGTGCTTTGCATATGCCCTTTAGCCCCTTACAACTCTTATGAAGTGGGTTCTACTATTATCCCCACTTCAAAGACAGGAGCATGGGGCTTAGAGAGATTAGCTAACTTGCAGCAAGTCATGCAGCTGATAAGTGGCATAGCTGAGCTTCAAACATTTGATAAGCATTTGTTCTCTGTGTTGGCAGTTTCCAATAAGCCACGTTACAAGTGCTCCCCAGAGCATGCTCTGAAGAAACAGCTGATGTCAAACGCTGGGATTTTCCATTTTGCTGTTTTTGCCATTGATCAATACATCCCCAAATAGGACTATGGTCACCCTTTACAAAGTTCTCTTACATACAGCTATTAGGGAAAGAAGGAGAACAAAGAAGGGTATTCACTTCAATGGCAGCCCCTAAAAGCTTCGTGGGGTTTTTTTTTGTTTTGGGTGTGTATTTTTAATTTCAAAAGGTAGAATTTTTCAGGGGACCAGACAGTACAAGCCACTTGCCCTGGTTACCTCTCAGCAGGTGATGGAGACAGATAATGGGATAATGTTTATGGAACGGTGGGGTTCTTGTGGTTTTACTTCAACGTATCTGCCTTTAACTCTTTTAAGAGCATAGATTGATTTATTCTTGATTTGGGCATGGAAACCAAATACAACTTTGCTAAATTGCAAGCAGGTAGAAGAACGTGTTTCAAGACCAACTTCAGAAAGTGGAAAATATCGATCCATCTTTTGTGGCTTTTTCTCTAGTCACACCCTTAGGCGTGGCAGTAGCACACACTCTGGACCCCCTCCTTTTGTTCTTTGCCCACAACAGGTGCTTGCTCCCTGCCTACCTAGATGAGGAAATATGAACACTCAACTTGACCTGGAATCTACTGTACACACAAACTAAAACAATTGGTAAGGTGGTCTTCTCATGGGAAGCTAAGTATAAGTAACGTTCTGTTTTAAAATGCTCTATCAGTATCGAAAAGACTAAGAACAACAAATGCTGGCGAGGATGCGGAGAAAGAGGAACCTTCCTGCACTGCTGGTGGGAATGTAAGCTAGTTCAACCATTGTGGAAAGCAATATGGAAGTTCCTCAAAAAACTAAAAATAGAAATACCATTTGACCCATGAATTCCACTTCTAGGAATTTACTCAAAGAATATAATTTCTCATATTCAAAAAGACATATGCACCCCTATGTTTACTGCAGCACTATTTACAATAGCCAAGATATGGAAGCAGCCTGAGTGTCCATCAGTAGATGAATGGATAAGGAAGATGTGGTACATATACACAATGGAATACTATTCAGTTATAAGAAAGAAACAAATCCTACCATTTGCAACAACATGGATGGAGCTGGAGGACATTATGTTCAGTGAAATATAAGCCAAGTGGAGAAAGACAAGTACCAAATGATTTCCCTCATTTGTGGAGTAGAACAATGAAGCAAAACTGAAGGAACAAAACAGCAGCAGACTCACAGACTCCAAGAAGGGACTGGATGTTACCAAAAGGGAAGGGAATTGGAGGGCGGGTGGGGAGGGAGGGAGAAGAGGATTGAGGGATATTCTGTTTAGTACACATGGTGTGGGGGATCACGGGGAAGACAGTGTAGCACAGAGAAGGCACATAGTGGATCTGTGGCATCTCACTACACTATGGGCAGTGACTGCAATGGGGTATGGGGAAGAGACACAATAATATGCGTGAATATAGTGACCACATTGTTTTTTCATGTGAAACCTTCATGAGAGTGTATATCAATAATATCTTAATAAAAATAAATAAAATGCTCTATCAGAGAGTTTAATGCTTACTCTTTTTTTTCTATTTCACTAGGGAGTTTGGCTAGTAAACATAATTTCAAGTAATATACTATGAAATTTTTTTATTTACAAGAAAATTTCACATAAAAAGCATCAAGCAAAATAAAGGGGCATTTTAGATTAGTAAAAAGCATAATAGTCAAAACAGCAGATATTAAGTGTGCAAAAGACTTATAGAAGGGCAGTGAAGTATATAAATATGCCTGATTACAAATAAAATATTTCTACAATGAAACATACTGTAAGCTAGTAACATTGATTGCCTTTGGGGTGAAATTGAGTAAGAGGGAAACTGTTTATCATATGGCCCCTTGAATTTTGAACTGTGTAAATGTATTTCCTTTTCAAATAAAAATATAAAAACCAAAGCAAGTTAAATTCATCAGGAAGGATAACAGTCAATATCATCACATAACAGTCAAATACATATTATAACATAAGGAAAGTAATGAGTCAGTAACACAAAATAATTAAGTGTAAAGCCAAGATTATAGTATCCTGTAAGGACAAACAGTCATATAACTGGAACAGAATATAGTAACTGGAACAGAATAAAATAATAGTTGTATATACATCCTATCAATGAAAGAAATTTTATACATCTATGGAGAATAGAGGTTTTAGTTAATAAACATTACTGAGAGAATTAGTGAAGGATATAAATTTCTTTAGGTATTTTACTCACTTTATAAATAAAAATAAATTCCAGGAAAATTAAGGAGTTCAATATTGAAATTCCAAACTACATAAATTTCAGAAAATATAAATGTTGAAAATGTCTCTGAAATGATTGGTAGATGGTAGATGCTCAAGAATTATGTATAAACAGCATTGAATTAAAAAAACTATATCCTGTAGCAAAGATTTATTGCCTATAATGTGTAATCACTGTGTTATATTCACCAGGAGTACAAAAATATATAAGACATGGTCAGTGCACCAAAGAGTTTATGTCAGTCAGAAGAAGATACATATAAAACCAACTATACTATAAAACACAGCATGACAGATGATAAAGTTCTAAAGAATATGGATGAAAGAGAGCTTGATTCCACTCCTGGGATCGGGAAAAACTTTCTAGAGAAGGTTTCATTTAACTGGATTTTAAAGGATGAGTCAAAATCTGGGCTTGGGAAGGTAGAGGTGAAGAGCATTCCAGGTACAAAATATTATGTAAAGAGGTATAGAAGCAGAAAAGTATAGAGCAAATTTAAGGCCTGTAATTAATTTGGCTGAGGCGTAAGATGATTAGGGTGCTATGACAGAGATGCGCAAAAAGTTGGGAGACTTTGCTTCTGTGAAGACAGAGATGTGCTTTATCCTATACTTCCCGCTAAGTGTATCTAAGTTCTCCAGTCCTTAGGTATACAGAAAACAAATACAAGACTCTGAAAGATAGAGAAAAGAAACCACACCAGCTTGGGACCTCAGGGCACTGGTGAGCTCCATACCTTTGCTTTTTGGCTCATATACCCCAGACTTAGAGCTGAGGCAGCTGGCAAACCGGAAATATCATGTGGTACATATGCACCACTCTACCCAACAACAAGTGAATACATATTCTTCTCAAGTGCACATGGAAAGATTTTCAGAAAAGACCACGTTAGGCTGTAAGTCTGAATAAATTTAAAAGGCTGAAATCATATAATCCTTTTATTAACCCAACCACAGAGGAAAGAATTTAGCAATCAATAACAGAAAGGAATTTGGGAAATACATAAACATATGGAATTAAACAAATGACTCCTAAACAACTAATGGGTCAAAGAAATCACAAGAATAATTGGAAAATAATTAGAGATAAATGAAAATGAAGACACAACATAGCAAAATGTATGGGATGCAGCTAAAGCAGTACTTAAAAGAACTATCTGGCTGCAAACATCTATATTAAATAGTAAATTGAATTAATCTTCCACCTTAAAACTGGACAGAGAAGAGCAAAGTAACTCCTATTGAGTATAAAAGAGGAAACAGTAAAGATTAGAACAAAAATAATGAAGTACAGAATAGAAAAGGAAATGGAGAAAGTCAATGGAACCAAAAGGTGTCCCTTTGAAAAGACTGACAAAATTGACGAATAATAATATAATAGATGTTATTATTATATTTTCATTTTTGTGGTTCTTATTGTTATCATTATAATCCTAGTGGTTACTCAGAGAGGCAAATGAAAACCATATTATCATATTCCCTTCACTACAAATGCAAAAAATAGGGAAAAAATATACATGTTCTTGCACTCAAGTAAATGTAACTTTGTTCTACTAAAACTAAACATCTCATCCACTTTTATTTAAGACCTCAGCGTACTTGGGCCATTTGTGATTTTATCTCTCTCCTCTTCCTCTCATACATTTATTAAGAAGCTTTCATTTTATGATATATCCAACCTATAAAACACTTTTTAAAAATTAATACATAATGTTAAACTATTAATTGTTTATGGAAGTTTGAGAATTGACCATCAAGGAAAACCAGCACACTCCCACATAAGTGTGCAGGGGGAAAATTTTCAGTAAAATTCATAAACTAATTATATGTTCCTAAAAAATTTTTTTTATAAGACTGAATTCTAAAAAAGTATGGGTGGTAAAATAGGAGCTATCTACTGGCTTTAATATGTACAGATCATCTCTTCCAAAGTTCATTGTTAATTATGCTGTTTTGAATACAAAATGCACTTTTCCATAAAACTTATGTTATTAATGGTAATTGCATTTACAAGAAGGCTTACAGAAGCTGACTTAAATACTTTTGAGATAAACTGCATTTATAACTGGTTTTGATCACATAATTCTATACATTTAGGAGACAGTCAACACTGAGCTAGTTAATCAGAGCAGCCAAACGGTAGACATGGTTAAATAAACCTCAAATTCAATTCCATATGATCTTGATCTTTCCTTCTTTCCATCCATCCTTTTACTAATTACAAAGACAATACAGGTTCACTTCTTTCAAACTTTTACTAAATTGGGATTATTCTCTCTCTGTCTCTATCTACATATATATACACCCCCCCACCCCCCACCCCCACACATAGACTTTTAAAAACTGCTTCTTTCACTTAATAGTATAGCATAAACATGTTCTTTTAGCATTAAAGGTTCTTGTACAATAAGTATTTTAATAGCTTCAGGCACAATAATAACAAGCGATGTATTTGACTACCTTTCAACTGTTGAAGATTTGTGTGGTTTAGTTTTCCACTATTATAGGTAATGTACAAAATCACCTTAATCTTTTAAATATCATGAATATTTAGCCTTTCTTTATAGTATATTTAGAAAAATGCATAGTCCATGGTACCCTCAAAAGTTGTGCCCAATCCTGAATTGTAACCCATGTGGCAAAGCTAAGGGCCCCAAAGAAAAAGACCAAAGTACTCTTCCTAAATCTGGCCTAAAGCTGGATAGATCCCTCCAATTCTCTGAATGCCAGCCTCCTCCTCACTTGTAAAAATAAGGGCATTGCACTAGGTCATAAAAAGTTTTCTTATAGATAGTAGAATAAGGTGATTAAGAATGCCCTAAACTTAAAGAAGAAAGGGAACTAACGAGCCAGATGCTTTGGTGTCTCACAAGTCTACATTCAGAAAAGTCATGTTCTCTCCCCTCCTAGAGGATAATGGAGAAGAAGGGGAGCAAGGCAGCAGGGCGGGCCAGGGGGGAATTTCCACATCTGGAGACATTTCACTAATGAAAGTGGAGGGGCAAGAGGAGAGATGAATGGAAGCTGCTCCCACAGCATGTTGTTCCAGGTCCTCCAAGAAGTGGCCAATGAGAGGATTAGATGAGTAAGAGATTCATCAGGGAAAAGGCACATCAGAGAAGCAGCAAGCAAGCTAGGCAAGGCTGAGAGAGCCAACAGACCAAAACGCAGGCCTGATACAGGGTAAAGGAGAAAGGACAGGAAGAAAAGAGGGTCCAGAGGCAGCATTCAGCTGAGCACGGCTGTCAAGGAGTCTGGAGCTGAATCTCCCATCACAGGAGTCCTGAGCCTCAGTGTCCCTGCTGCACTCACTCAATGGCTGGGAGCATCTGTGAGAAGCATGGCCTTGACACAGACTAATGGATTTCAAAGCACAGTGGCCGGAGCAATTGACCAATTATGCTCCTTGTAGTTGGAGATCTGAAAGTCTTAATTTTCATGGCTATCAAACACTGGATACGAATATGTAAAGTAAATTCCAGCACAGAACTACTATTCTATGAAATGGTGATAAAATGGTAGACTCCATTCATCTCAAATAATTTCAGTATCAAATGGAGGTAAAAGCAAAGAAGTTGAAGACTGACAATAAAAAGAATTACCCAAAGAGCCATCTATTTCTTACAAACTTACTCCAAGAGCTTCTGCGCATCAAAGTACCCAATGGGATGAACAGGAATATTGGGAAGACCGACAGCCTCTGTGATTCCACGTCTATAAGCATATTCTGGAAAAAGTTAAACACACGTCTAATAAAAATTCAGTTCCTTTCAAAAGGTTCTCTGTAAACCACATTAAACTCGTTCTTATATTGATTACATCTAGTAGAACTGCTTAAAAAAAAAAGACAATTTCAAATGTTAGGGAGAATGTGGAGCAACCCAAACTCTCATGCATTTCTTGTATTAGTGTAAAAGTATACAGTCACATACTAGGTATTTACTCACAGAAGATGAGAACATAAGTCCATGAAAAGATCAGTATGCAATGGCTCACAGAAGCTGAATTTGGATAGAAAAACACTGGACATGGTCCAGATGTCTTTCAACACGGGAATGAATAAACAATCTGTAGTACAGTCCCACAATAGAGTTCTCTTTAGCAATGAAAAGGTACACAATTAATGCAAACAATAACTATGAATCCATCTCAAATCACACTGAATAAAGGCATCCAGGCACAAAAACTCTGACTCCATTTACATGATAGAGTTCTCTTTAGCAATGAAAAGGTACACAATTAATGCAAACAATAACTATGAATCCATCTCAAATCACACTGAATAAAGGCATCCAGGCACAAAAACTCTGACTCCATTTACATGAAGTTCAAAGCCAGCCAAACTAACATATGGTGATAGACTGAAAGTGGTTGCTTCTGGGGGGCGCAGTGAAAACTGATCAGAAACGAGCACAGGAGAACTTTCTGGGGTTATGGAAATGTCCTATATCTTATTTTGAGTGACATGCATGCATGCAATTTTAAAGACTTATTGTACTGCATTCTTCATCTGTGCATTTTATTCTATGCAAACTCTACCTCAAAATAAAAACACACAATCTGTCATTTCTTCAGATTTAAGAAAAATAAAAGATATTTTCTTATTTTTTTCTTCAAATTTTTAAATGATCTAATAAGAGCTTTAGGTGATTGCAAAAGTTTTCTCTTTTTATAGGTCAAATGGCGTAATTATATGTTGTATGAGATTTGTCTACTCAATTCTCTTGAGTAATAACAAAAATAGGAAAGAAAAGGGATGAGACGAAATTAGCAAAATGTTGATAATTACCTCTAGTTTTGTGTATGTGAGAACTAGTCCATAAAAAAAAAGTAAATTAAAAGGAAAAGAAAAAAGAATAGGGCACAAAATGGAATTCAATAAATATAAGCCACACAGGGATAAAAGTGTCATTCTCACACACTTTTACTTTGTTACTCCTTCTCAATGCTAGCTTCTGGGCCTTTTGTGAAATCTTAGGGTTTTTTTCCCCTAAAAAAATCACTATTTAAATTTGAGGATAATCAACAGAAATGTTTCAGCTAGTTTCATTTCATGTTCATAATTTTAGCTTTGTATAATTAACAAAGATTGGGAAACACTGTTTTTTTTTTAATAACTTGGGAATAAAGAGAAGCAGGTGAAGTTCAAGTATATTTGATTTCCTTTAAGGGTAATAGACATTTCTTAAAAAAAAAAATCGATGACACTGTACTATGCTCCAAGATTTACAAGCCAAATACATGAGCTGTAAAGGTGTTTACATACGGACAGAAAAACTAGATGAACAGTAAACACAGAAATGCCACAGACACTCTGGCAACCTATTTTATCCACGTTGTACACCTTAGTTAGTTTTAAACCACACAAATGAAATGATCATAGATTTTTTAAATGTCACCAACTAGTTAAGTATATTTAAAACAGAAATTAGCTCCCTTTGTTAATGATCTACAGTTTTACAGGGGATCATTTTGGCATAAGACACGTGGACTCTGGAGCAGCTTGCTTACTTCTTGTAGTCTCACTTTCCTCCTGTCGAACAGAGACAATAATGCTCCCAGACCTACAGGGTTGGCGTTGCATGTAAAGAGCTGGCATTCAGGAGACACTCTTGGGAAGGTGGCATTGTCTTCATATAGCAAAGACGCAATAAGCATTTTCTGGACTCTAATATTCTAAAAGTACCACTTCAGGGATTTATAGAACTCTGTTCTACTATCTCTTATCCATAACTGGAAAACCCCAACACTGCAAAAACCATGTTTCGAGGGAATTTACTTGACCACAAAACCAGATCTGATGTAAACTCATTTAACAGCCAAGTTATCTACCTCTTATCTACCTCTGCTTCATATGATTATTCAAACATTTAGCTGCAAAAATATTTATATGCTTGCTTCCTGAATTCTGTCCTACCCTCCTGTGTGTTATGAAACATACGATAGGTGTGCCATCTTATTTTTAAATATCTGTAAATTTCTGAATTCCAAACTCATCAGGCCCAAGGGTTCCAAATAAGGGATAAGGGACCTGAATCAATATTTTTCAGAGTTTGAAACTCTTTAATTACTTCTTAGATGCAAAGAGAATAACAAAAATACATATTTTACCCATTGTATCAAAGGAAATCCTTTAATAAAATCATTTCAAAATGTTGTTGAGATTCCTTTGGTGATTGAGGCTCAGTCACTCACTCACCATTTGCAGGGTAACCAGGAGTGAGAGGGTCCCCTGCACCATTGAGATTTAAGATATTCCCACGCTGAACACCACCTCCAGGAAGATTCCAACCATCAGGATAGGACTCCACCCCAGGAGCAACATAATCAGCAGGGTCCGAGTACAGAAGGACTCCTTTAGCCCCTGCCAGCTGGGCATTTTTAACCTAGAAAACACAATGTCTTTATTTCAGGTTGGTTGTTCCAGATTTGATAATACTGATTTCTTAACATTATACTTCAATGAGTAGCCAAACTTTATTTTCAATCTTTTATCGTTAGGCCTACAACAAAGAACATCTCACAGAAAACTGGCTTTTGCTTTTTCCTACTCCAAGCTCTAAAAATAAGTTTCCACGACTAGATGAACCCTTGGAACGGCAGATTTGGAAAATGTCCGTAACAGTGGTAGCGAGTACTTGCTATTCCCCAGTCTAGAAGCACAACATGCAAGTAGACGGACGCCACAGGCTAGAATCCCATGTCTTCTATGGCTGAAAGGGAATATTTTTGAAATTTAATTTCCCATAGAAGGGAAAAAAAAAAATAACAAAATCAAGTGACATTGAAAACTGCTATGTATAAATTGGCTTCTCTCGCTACCTGTTAGTAACAATTCATATTAAAATTTAATTTAGTACATATTTGCAAAGATGATATTTAAAACAGAGACACTGAACGTTAACAACAAATCCAGTGTATGCTTCTTTGCAAACCATGGGTATAATTTGCAAGTATAGAAAAAATCTGCCCTGTTTTCCCTGAACTTCTACACTGGCCAAATTCCAATGACCCAATCAAAAACCCCTATCTATAAACTAGTAAATATGTCCTTCCCATAAGGTGGGCGTGTTACAGAATATGAGAAAATCATGGTCTTCAGAAAGTTTAAAGGATAGGATATATATAAAAGTGATATAAAAGTTATATGTAAGGTATAATGTTTTATATTTGGAGAAAAAGCAAAGATCACTTTTACCTTGTTTCCTCTGAAAATTTTCCCATATCTGGCAATCACAATCTTCCCAGAGCAATTGATTTTCATGTCCCGCTCTAGTTGAAAGAAGTCTTCAGTTCGTGCATAGTTGACATACACTAGATCGCCCTGTTGAGGTCAGGAATGATTTAGTACGAGTGAGATTTACTATAAGGAGGTTTCTCTGCATGACGACTATTTTGCATCTTTTAAAGAAGGAAGAGGCAAAAACACACGAAAAGGCCAGAAAAGCATGAGCCTCAGAGATTTAAGGGGAAAAGGAGCTTAAATTGAGAAGGCAATTAGCTGGGTTAGAGACACATGAATTAAAATAGCAAGCTTTGTTTATGTCTGTCTCTTCTACAGTGGCTATAAAGCTATAGAAGCATTCCTCAGGAACACGTATATGAATATATACATTGTTGTATGCAATTGGAGGGGGTCCAGGTACTCTAAGTTAAGAAACCTCCCTTGTTGAGAACTTTGTTCTCTTTGAAATACAGTAACTAATAGTAGCTTAATGGGTCTTTACAACCACCAGATAAAAAAGAAAGGTCAGGTAATATTACTCTTTATAGGTCTGGTTCTATATCATAAGTATGATTATGTGCAAATTTTATAACATCTATTAAGTCTCAATATTCTCATTTGTAAAATGGCCTGTTAGATTAGATTAGTGTTCTTCAAATACTTTTTGCTCACATGTTAATTTTGAAAAGCAACACACCCCCTTACATATACTTAACATCTGAAAGTATTTATCATACCTTTAAATAGATACAAAGAATGCAATTTCCAAGATATTCTAAATATTAACATTTTCAGAAGCAATATTTATATGTAACTAAAGTAATTTAAATACTGTATCGATTTATTATTCAACGCCATCCATTTAAAAAATATATAGGAACATTCTCCTCTTCTGAATTTCATCTTTCCTTTTTCTCCCCAAACTTGTATTTTGGCCCTCTTCCCTCCAATTCATTTTACCCTAAAGTGAAATATATTTGTGCCAGACAGTGGGGTATGCTGCCCAGATTCCCCTTCAATGAAGGCGTGCATTCTTGCTCTAGCTACAGGGAAGTCTCTCTGCAGACAGCCTTCAGATCTCAGCGCCTTCAGGGACTGCCTCAGCTGCAGACCACCGCCATGCCCCTTCTTAGGTCGTCACACATTATATGACTGATCATAAGACCTGGGCATCTTAGTTCAGATCAGAGCAATTCTGAAGGGCTACTCTAACCCAGAGCTGCCCATCAGGTCAGCAGAGGCTGTCTTGAGCTGCACTGAAGGAGACTTCTGCTTAATCCAATTTTCTTCCCCTCCCTGCCACAGATACAGATTCCAAGAGAACACTTCCTAACACCCGACACGCTAAATTCCATTTCAGTTTCTGTTACCTAGAATTTGGGTATGCTTGAAAGTCTCAAATTTTTAAAAATATTTATTTCCTGTGACAGGCTGTCTGTGTGAAGAAAATTCTTCAGAAGTAAGCTATTAGTATAATTATTGTAAGTATCAAATTGAGTCATTGAGGCTAATAACATCGTGACACATTTTTATAAATAATACCTAAGCATACATTTTTACTTGAATTACATCTCTTAATATAGGGTATTAAACTATGAGGTCATGGACCTGTGGATGAATAAATTATTGCAAGAATAAGAGTCAACTTCAGTTCTATTCCCATTTCTTGTTTTTAGACATAACTTCTGAAAAACCTTGGGATGGAAATGAAAGTTTTGTTACAGAATTTTCACTAAATTATTTAAGCTCCTTCCAAGTTCTCACCCCCAAATCACACACTGATCTATTATCCAAGTTAATTCTAATGATATCAGCTAGAAACTCAATTAGGCTCATCTTTAATTTTGTTTAACTGTGTGGGTAAAATTGTACTATTTCCAGAATATCTTGCCTGGTTTTAGTATATCTGCATATCAATAGGCATTCAGATGGAAAGAAGTATGGCTTTAGAGGATTTGCTTCATTCCTTGGGTGGAGAAGTTCATCTCCATATCAATGGGTAATTACCTGGGCAAGGAGGGCTTATTTGTACCTGAGACTTGAGTGGAGGGCAGGTTTTGCTTCTGCTAGAACAGGAGATAGAGAAGGCCCTGGACTGCAATTTGTAAGCAATGATTGGGTTTTAAACTTTATTTCTTCTCCCTTTGACTGATTTCGGTTTTTAGAGGTATTTTGCCCTGGGATTTCCTTTCTCCGGACTTACAAACTGCAAACCCTTTGACTTGCCAAATTATTTGTTACTCAGCAATTAGAATCTTTTGCTATTGTCTCTTTGTTGGGAGTCACAGAGATTTTTTTTTTTACAATTCAGAGATAAGCTTCACATTGTTTTAGGTTTGGTGGGAGATGTTTTTACTTTGTAACAGAGAAAAATGTAAAAGAGAAAAATGATTGTAAATAAGGAGGTGGGGACAAAGTGCCAGCAGGACCTCATTAATGATTAGTTCTTAATTCCAAGAAGAAGTACACTGAGAAATTGCTGATGGGAGCTGACTTCTTTAAAATAATTCCATGTCTGCCTTCAGAAAGTCTTCACATGACCTAGATCAAAGTCCCTGGACTGAACAATCGTTAATATCTTGTAGCTTTATTTTGGCATTGTTTTCTTCTTGGACCACGTTTCTCATAGCACCTGCACAACAAATTTAAAACAGATACTAATATAAAACTGTTTCCAAGCGGATTCTAGGATGCATTTGACAAACTTGCTGAGCACCTGTCATCATGTGCGTAGGAATTAGGGATACAGCAAATTTCTGTCCTCAAAGGAACTTACTTTCATGTGCAGATAAGATAAGTTAATAACTAAGTAAACTATATATATTAAAGGTGATAAGTGCTACAGAAAAACTTTTTTTTAAAAAACCTTAAATAGAGTAGGCAAACAGTGAACTCAAGTGGGTGCAATTTTAAATAAAAGAGGACAATCTATTGAGAAGGTAACATTTGAATCTGTGCTTCAGCAAAAGCATTATATTTAGTACTTATATTTCTTCCTAAGAGGAATATAATATTTATTCACTATTCGATGTTTGATTTATAATTGTGAGCCCTCTCTGGAGCTCACTATTCTTCCAACTGTGAATACAGAGTGATTAACCAATCTGATTGCAGTGAATTTTGTTTTAGTGTAAGCGTCCCACTTGAAATTTGTTCCTATTTAATATCACTAACTTTGGGGAGACGACTTCTTTATGTATCTGTAAACTGTGGCTATCTTTTGATAAATCCAAAATCCTCACAAAAGAAATTATAATGGAGAAGGGATGGAGAAGACATTAGTTTAAAGATCACAGTAAGTATGAAAAGGAAAACAAGTGCGATGGCTTTGTCCTCTCCGCACTTTACAAATGCAAGTTGTCACTGTTGGAAAAAAGCTTTGTTTTCAGACAATGACCTTCTTGTGAAATTCACACTGCACTCATGTTCTTTTACTGGGAATAAACACAATCTTGCACTGTTAGCCTAGAATTTTCATTTCTTTAAAGCTCCCATCTTCCAACTTTTATTAAGGGAGACAGAATTGTGAGGCAAGAACCATGGTTCTCAAACTATGGTTCTTGAACCCTCAAAATGAATATCATCTAAGACCTTGTTGGAATCAAACTATCAAGACCTACTGAAACTCAGGGGGTGGGGACCAGAATCTGTGTTTTATAAACCTTCTGTATTATTGTGATACATGCTGAAGTTTGAGAACCACTACATTAGACTGATTTCAAATAGCCTAAAGCAGAGACGAGCATTTCCTACTCCAGAGAATTCAGATGTAGATCCAAAAATTACTTATAGCAAAATATCTTAAATATACATACAGACATACATAATTTCAAAAAGGTATGCTTGAAGATTGACTGCAAAATCTCTGATGGTAGTTCCGCACACTGCTTTACTGAGAGTAAACCACATGAAATTTTCTAGAATGGACTTTCATGCCCTTCACTTGAAAATAGGAAACACAGTCTTACTAAAATTCTTTGAAAATTAGTGCTCACAAGCATAGTTAAGATATGTAGCATTTTTATACATTGGAAATTACTTGGCTATAAAAGAACAAAGTACGGATAAGTGGTAAAACGTAAACTCACAGACTCTATGTTTAGTGAAAGAAACTAGAAACAAATGATGATGTACTTTGTGATTTCATTTATATGAAGTTCCACAATAGGCAAAACTAATCAGTGGTAGCAAAAAAATAATAATCTGAAGAATAATTGCCTTGGGGGAGTATGGAATTGACTGAGAAGGGACATATAAAGGTACTTTCTGAAGTGAGGGAACAGTATTTATGTTAAACGTTTTGGATTACATAGGCATATCGCATTTGTCCAAAGCCAATAAATGTGCATGTTTGATTTCTGCATCTTATTGCAATAAAGTTTATCTGAAATAAGTATGAACAAAAATTAAATATTCATTTTTCTTACTGAGAAATTCTGGTTTCTTAACTATGGGAAAAGGGTGAATTTGGATTATATTAAAATCCCCTTATAACTGTTTCTTGGCTGCATGTAGAAAGGGTTCTGTTTGTTACTTTATTGCATTGCATTTTTACCTCTGGCATTCCTTGTGGAGAGAAGGCACTAAAAGGTGGTACAACATCTGAAATATTTTCATATCCTGGAGGAGGTGGTTCAAATAGTGATGTGTTGAAAATCTAGAGAAAAAATATCATAATCAAAGCACATCAGGTAAAGTTTATTACAATCAAACAAGGAAAAATGTGTACTGTCTCTTCTGTCATTGTAGAGTTAATCAGTCCTTCAGTATATTGAATACCTGTCACTGTGCTAGAAGCTGTGAGGATTTCATGAGATGAATAAACTACAGGGCCTGAGCCTATCTATAAGCACCAGGGTTTGATATAGGATAAAATTTTAATACCCAAATAAAAAGGATCATTTTTCGCACAATAATCTTAGTCACTTATAACAATGTAAGAGAGTGATGAAGGAACAAAGTAAATATTAAATTCACTTCAAAAAAAAATTACATTTGGGGAAATCTATATCTGACAGTATCTACACTAAAAACAATCACACTTAGAACTAAAAACACTGAAACAAATAAAAAATATTATATTTTTAAGTCTATCACCAAATTGGAAAAAAAAAAGTAAGGATATTCAGTAGCCAAAAAATGACATGAAAGCCGGAATCCTGGGAAGTTGCACTAACATCCTCCTAGTTGAATTTGTTAAAGCCTGAAGGCCCATGAGGAGTGCACAGGAGTTCATGATGAAGTTTGGAGCCGATCCAAACAATGGAATCTAATAGAGACACCTGCATAAAGCTGGGCCTTCAAAGAAAATCTTTTGGGGTTAAAGATAAAGTAGAAAATAACATACCCCACAAATAGTGATGACATGGGTTAGAGGGGAAAAATATTGTCCCAGCTAATTCATTACTCTGCAATTTTCCATTCACTACCCATGTTTTGGATGAGTCTACTTTAAGCGGCACCCTTCAAAGAGAAGATTCCAAATCTCTCAGAGACAATGGAATGCATTCTTTGATTGATAGATAGAAGCTTCTAAAAGACACAATGACTTGAAAAAGTCCTAAAAGGATCCTTAGAGCATAAATAAAAAGAAAACACTTCAATAAAATACTTTGGCCCATTGAGCAGGTAACCTTAATTTAGTCAGTCTGCCAAAAACACATTTTGGATCCAGCTATTTTCTTCTGAGTTTTGGGTCCTGTGAACTTGGCTTACTAACTGCCAGGTTGGAGACCCTGTGATCAGACAACAAAATAAATGTGATTTGCACCCTGTTTGCTACTCTCTATGGCTGAACAGAAATGTTGGTTAGAATGCATCTGCAGCCAGGGTCTCACCGAACTGCAGCCAGCCCTCAGGAAATTATAACCTGGAATTACAATGGCTATCATGAGGAATGTTCCAATTAGATAAGCTCATTTAAGAAGTGCACTTAGAAGCAAAGGCCCCAACATTTCACAAATAGCTTCACTGAAATTTTCATTGCAAAAAGCTGGTAAAAAAAAGACACATGAGGTACACTGTACGAAAGCCTATTAAGACTAATGTAATTCTTACTGCTTCCCTCCTTCCTCCTTTACTTGACTACTCACTCTAGTTATCTTTCTGTCTGAACTGCTCTTACACAATCACAAACAAAAGTCAGCCAAGATTATAACCTTAAAGACAGCACCACATATATCTTCAAAGGAGGGCCCTTTATGAGCCTCTCCCAGAGTTGACTACACTTTGAGAGATAATCTGGTAAAACGCTACATATTGTCTTTAAACAGCCAAGGGAAAATAAACAAAAATTCCAACATAGGTGGATGGGTAAGTCATTTTAACATTCAGGCTACAACTCAATTCTTTGAGGTTTCAAAAGCAACTGTCCTTATGTCACAAATCTTTACAAAACTAGAAATACTGTAGAGGCAATTCAAAGTTCACCTACTCCTTTACCAATCTCAAAACCTGCCCTGTTTATCTTAAAAGGCTTGTAGATTGCTGTACTTAGGAAACCAAAGCCCTTCTAGCAGAAACTTACATTCCTTCTTCTTTGGTATTATAAATCTTATCATGTCTTTGAAATGTTAACATAGCCCACTATCACCTGAGACTGAAAGAAAAGAAAAGGGAAAGAGGCCTTTTTAAAAATACAAACTGCTAGGAGGGCTCTAGCGCCCAGACTCCAGCACCTTTGAAAACAGGTAAATATGTCCCCAAAACTCCGCTTGGCTGAAAACTTGGATAATTTCTCATGCCTTTATGATGTAAATTTCCTAGAGCCCTACTCCCTCCCCATCCCCCAAATCTCTAGTGCCTAAGAGCCATTCTTTAAAATGCAAACTTTAGGGGAAAGTTTCTCAACAGAAGGAAAAAAAATACAGGAAGGTATCTGGGAATTGGACCTATAACTTCCTCTCTACAAATATTAGTAAAAACAAAAGCTATAAGGTCTTTGTTAGCATTTGTCTGTGTGTTTATGTGTTTTCATGCATCTAGGTGGTAAATGTGAGATTTTTCTATCTCCAAATGGTATTGCTAAAATTAATTGTAAAAGAGATCTAATTTGTTGGCTGAAAGAAAATTAAGCACTGTAAGTTTAGTATTATAAAAATTCTCAAAAATAAAGACATAATCAAAATGGATTTTAGGTTCATGTGATCTGGGAAAATATTCAAAATTGAAGCTAATCTAAGTTTGTTGGTTTAGTTGAAGCAAGCATATCTTTAGAAGTATTGAGGTAGGACAGGGCTATGGGACAAGCACCATTCCTGCCTACGATGAAAAATGCTGAGATATAAACATTATAGTAAGGAGGTGGGATCCTGTTACAAAATTTATGGACAATAACTTGGTATGATGAAATTTTACTTAAAAATAGCTTCCAAAATCTTTCTGGTAACAAAACTTTAGAGCTTTACTAAGTTAAATTAAATAATAGAAATGTAGCAAGTGTCTACATCATTTCCAAATAAGATATTAAACATTAATTCTTAACAAGGCTTATTACACATTAACTAAAGATAAATTTGAACCTGTTAGTAGACATTATTTGTGCTTTATTGAAAGACTGCACTATAAAAACAGAACATGCTTCTAAAAATTAGGAAATATATTTATAAATTTACCAAGCTAAAGAATGTTGGTGTAACACAGTTCACCATTGCATATTATTTAGCTTCCATTAGAAATAAAAGTTTCTAAGGGTTAAAATTTTAATTAATATACGTCGTTAAAGCTACTAAAATTAGAAACATTTCTATAAAAGAAAAGTAGCATATGTGCTTTCAGTTAAAGAAGGTAAGAGGAATGTAAATATACATTTGTTGAGAAAAAAAAAGTTATTTTGTCCTAAAGTAAAACTGGTTATGAGAAAAGTTAAGAAAAAGGACTGAATGTAAAAAAAAAAAAAAGTTTTAGAAAGTTTATAGAAAAGAAATCTTTGAAATGGAATTTGTGTGTGCTCAAGCTGGCTATAATAAAATGAATTTATTTAAGAATAAGTTTAACATCAAGAGTACACTGGTACAAGAATAAAATTTGGTTTTTATCTCTGTTAGAAAGGCAAAGTTTTCTTAAGATTATTGCTCTGTTTTTAATAAAAAATTGTAAACAAATATTTTTATTTACTTTTAATGTAATCTGCCTAGAAAAGCAAAGGTTTTGTTTTGTTTTTATCAGTTCTTTTGATAACTTCAAACAGAGTCTTTTCTACTAAAGGAGCTAAGGTTTCTGTTCTTGTCAATTCCACTGCAGTGAATGCTCATTAGATATTTCACAACAGACAATAAAAATCTATAAAGATTGTAGCAGCACATATGGATAAAGTTCATTCTGCTACTACCAAAAAAAAAAAAAGGCCCTCATTTCCAGACTTTTGCCATCCTGATGTCATTCTGACATGACAGCAGTCTGCTCCTGAACCAGAGAAATTAAGAAGGGTAAACAATGGTCATAAATTAAATTGTTGGGGCTACTGGAAAACCAAGACAGCCAGCTGGTTCTTCCCAGCTCTCCAGAAAACTCCATTTTTGACTTTTGCATTCCTTTACCTGCTATTGTGCATTTAAGGAAGACTATTTGGTCCCCTGAGGCCTCAGATCTCCCTCTGGACTTTCTGAACACTTTAGAGCAGGACTTCATTCAACTACCACTTACTATGGGGTTATCAAAATGTTCTTGTTATTTTAAGATGTGTTACCCATTTGAGGTATACCTTCCACAATCTCCAGTGATCAAAGAAAGTACACAGTTCACTGCGCAAATTATATGAATCTTCATAAAAACCTTACCAACATCTTAAAATTTTCTGTGTCAATCATCAGGCAAAGTCAACAATAGGAATGAAAAAAAAAACGACTCAAGTAGGACAAGTATTGATTACATAGGACTAAATAAATTGGCATATGTTATACTTTTTATAACTTTTTATCTAATGTTATACTGGCTTTTATGTTTTGGTTTTTCCAGATTTAAGGAAATCTTTTCTCTTACGATGTTAACAGTTTGATAACACACACCTTTGTGAACAAAAGTGGAACATTTATCTTTTGCTCCCTCCTGATTCCTCCAGAATTCAGACAATATTGTTAGTTATTTGCATAAGTTCCATAGGAATCTGTTCTCCTTGTAACAGGATGCCCAGTGCACCTAACCCTGGTTCTCTGAGGCACAGTTGATAAAAGGAGATACACTTCTACATTGTAAAGACCTAACTGTGTCTACCAAAAATAACCATGCTTCAGTAGAACAATCTTTTCACAGTATGCTCCCTGAAGACAAAGACCTTGAATATAGCACTTTACAACCTGGGAACGTCATCTACTGGAAGAGACATCCCCAGAAAGACCCTCTTAAAACCCACTAACAAGATCCTTTCAAGGTCCTGTTATCCAACCCTTGTGCCGCCAAACTCCAAGGAACAGGCTCTTGATTCCTGTGTCACATCTGAAGAAAACATCAAACCCTGACTGGACCTCTACACCAAAAGGTGACCTAAAAATAAAGATTTCCAGGAATTACAGGAGATGACAGCTGAAGGAAGACAGTTTTCCCAAGATAACCAGCCCAGCCCCAAATACCCTTTTGTAGTAGCTGATTCTTACTTTGTTCTCCCCTCACCCCACTTCCTCTTAAAGACACAATACTCATCTGCATTTCTCCTTCTGTTGAAAAGGAGAGAAACCTCTCTGACAGTTGGATCTGCCACCGGCAACTCTGATCTGCTCACCATGTCAGATATCCTTTGTTCTTACCCGGAACGAATTTCTCATTTGTCCCAAATGCCAGTGTTGATTATTACGGATGTTATGTACCAGGCTAGGTTGTTACAGCTGGGTGTTCCCATACCTTGTTTCAACCATAACCAGTCAAAACCATATAAACTGAACTAAATACCTCCACCTTTGGCAATTATACAATCTTTGCTTCCCTTATGTTCTTTTCCTTATATAAATATGATCTGCACCCCCGAACCCAAAGGAAATACAAATGGTTTACATTTCTCTTGAGTTTTTTATCAAAGCCCCCTTTGTCTTCCCAAATCCTCTTATCCGTGACTTAAAAATGCCAATCCAGATTGAAAGAAAGTACTTTAGTTTTTTATTTTTACTATTTATTTTATTTTTATTTTAAAGCTATCTACTTAAGCTTTTTTAGTTTTAGATATTTTAGCTCTAAAACTAGAGAAGCTAAATAGGGATGAATATATAAGTCATATTTGATGGGCCTTCATATTGAATATATATCATGATAAGAAACATCTCAATTAGTTATCTTTCTTTCTCAAATATGTTCCCTAACTTGCAGACAAGAGTGAAAACTTTTTAGATTTCATTCTATAGATATTGTCTCCAAACTCTTTGCCCCTTCAAATGCCTGCATCCAAGTTCTGGGCACTGAGCTGAACACACGGTCATATGAAATGTAATCATTTAATAAAAGTCTTCTGGTTCAAGCTACACACTTGGATATATACCAACTGAATAGCCTAGCATCCCCAAACTTGTACAGTACTTTTTTTTATTCTCAACCTACCAAAAATGTATCTATTTTCGTTGTATGGAAATTTACTAATATACCATATTAGTGTACAATACTTAAAAAATAGAAAATAGCAGCTGTCATCAAGCAATAATTTCTTAGGATCTTTCCAACATATTAAATTCAAACATCATAAGAAAGTAGCTGACACTGATAATAAGATATTAAAGACATAATTCACAAGTTTCAATAATACTGATTTCTATCAATAATTGTAGATGGTATATGATATTCTTTCATAGAAGGTACTTGAAAAGATCGATTTGGGTGGGGGGGGGGATCTTTTCTTATCTTTTTTTTTATTGAGTTACAATAAAATGCACAAATCTCAGTGTACAGCTTGATTTTGTCATGTGTATACACCCATGTAGCCATCCCCCTGATCATGACACCAAACATTCTCTCTAATGTTTTTTTTACCTCATTTCCATCTTCATCAACTATTGAGATGTAGTTGGGATGAGTCTTATTGGGATAAGACAACAGGACATCATAAGGAGTTAACTCAACAGAATCCAGGCCAAATTCTTTCCATTGGGATTGAACTTGCTTTGCAAGTTGGAAATTTTGTTCTGTTCCTGCTAAATGTGGTATCCGGGTAAAATTACTGGTAAGCAAAAATTGAGAGTGGTTAGAAATTAATGTTTAGCCGGCTTTTATCCCAAATCTACAACAAATAAGATGTATTTACATCAAGAAAAAACTCTGAAATGTAAAGATCACCAAAGCAAAGTGGTACTTATTATTATTGCATCAAATACATTTTTGAAGTGCATTTTGAAATTTTCATGCTCTAATTTGTACTCGTTCAACAGAAAAAATTGGAGAAACTGATCTTCGTAGAGAATTGTTAGGTACAATCCTGTAGACATATCCCTGCACAGATGAGGAAAGTGTCATATTCTGTCATTAAGAACTATGCATCTTGGAATTTTCATGGAATTCTGTTTATTCCACTGTGCAAAATATATTTGAGAGGTAAAAAATATTTTCAACCAAATATCAAACTATGGAGTCACAAGAATTACTGATAATTCCATTTACTTTCAAATACTGAAAGTTATAGCCAAGTAAGAAACCTTTTGATTAGCAACTGTGGCCAAAATTCTGGCTATCAGAAAATATTGTCAGGAGTAGACTAATTTCTCATTTGATATGTCTAGATACTGTTGCCTTTGTATTAAATTTCTCCCTCCTGGAAATGTATTGTTTCCCTGAAGATTCAACTTGTTGGTATGTTCAATTTAAATCCCAAAGGGGGAAAAAAAGACTTGCGTATGACAAAGCAGCATGTAACATGAAAAGGGAGTTATTTCTAGCTCATGAACTTCCGATTCTAAATATTAGGTCTTTCTAAAATTAACACACTTCCTCCTTATGATGACTTTTAAAAAACCAATAGGCAACATGACTATGATGATCCCCCTTTCAGATGTTCAATTTCACTGTGTATCTAATTTTTGATTTGGAAAATCAACTGCCAAAGATGATAACTATCAATTCTTTAAAAGAATTGAATTCCTGTGCTTTATTTTTTTACTGAAGCAACATTGATATACATACTGATTTCACATATACAACACAGAGGCTCTACAATTAGCCGTATTACTAAATCCTCACTCCGACTAGTATGGTTACTATCGGTCAACATAGGAAGATGTTACAGAATCATTACCTATATTCTCCAATTTACAAAAAGAATATGAAAATTCCCATTCAGTAAATTATTAAGGATTTAACACCTCACATAGGATTTCTAATGTGTTTTTGCAAAGTGTATTAACAAAATTACACAATTTTTAAGAGGTTGCTGAGGAATCTATATATCCCTTCATCAATGTATAGAGAGAAACAGCCAACATGAGCTTATTTTCCACTATATTACACATCACAAATTGTAACATAACTAAAATGGATACAGATTATGCATATTTCCTAAAGACCCAGCTATAATTCTGTCCCTGCATGCAAGAATTGATATGGGGAGTTGAACCTGTTCACACACACACACACACACAGATTATTATCAGATTTTGTTATTATAAAATTCCTTGAAACAGTTCTATCATTACCAACTACAGCACAGACACTGTGTGTTATGATTAGGGAGTTACAACCCACTGATACGGAGCAAAGTCAATCTTGAAAATGAACCTAGAAAAGCAGATGTTTCTAATGATAAATAAATTGGCAAAAAATCATACAAATGGTGTATTACAGGTTTTTCCACTAGCTTGTATAATCCTGACCATCTTCAGTTTTACATCTGTACATGGGGAGAATAGTGCTACCTCTCTACATCACAAAGACTCGAGGCTAATCAAGGAGATAACTGATATGAAACAGTAGCTCTTAGCTACTTTTGTTTTAATCAGTTAAGAAGTGGTTTTAAGTAATTTGTTGATGTCCTATTAAAGTCTTTTAAAAACTAACTTATAATGATGCAAAATACCTAACCTGTAATTAAAAAGTGGCTCATATATCTCTGTTGGGCTAGAAAAGTTTAAATATGTTTCACATATACATTATCTCAATTAATAAGATGAGTCATTGGTATTCCTGTTTTAATATACTGCATCTGGCTTACAAATGATGGAACAGTTATGCAAGGTACTAGATGACTTTAACTGCAGCTAGTAAAAGGTATAACCAATGCAGATCTGTGAAATTCTGAGCCCAGAGGTCTTCTAATCTTGTCTTTCAGAATAGGGTAGAAAATGAAAGCCCCCTAGTGAGATGCAAAATAGTGAACAGATATGAGAATTAAACCAGGTGTTTACAAAACAGAAGGGAAAACACAGGATAACCCTACACCTCTGGGGAACTGAAAAAGCAGCTCCTACTTTAATTCTCCCAGCCACTGAGAGGCAAACAACTTAGAAGTGGTGGGGATCTTTAACAGCAGAGCAAAGGGTTATAAAGAAAGACAAGGAGGAAGATCCAAGGCCTTAATGGCCCCCAACCTATAAGCGTAAGTACAGTTGACGCTTGAACAACATGGGTTCAAATTGCACAGGTCCACTTATACACGGATTTTTTTCAAATATGTTGAGAAATTTTTTGGACATTTGTGACAATTGGAAAAAGCATTTTCTTTCCTTTAACTTACTTTATTGTGAGAATACAACAAATAAAACACATATAACAAAAAATGTGATAATCGGCTGTTTCTGTTATTGATAAGGCTTCTAGTCAAGAGTAGGTTATTAGTAGTAAAGTTTTGGCAGTCAAAAGTTATACACAGATTTTCAACTGCTTGGGGAGTTGGCATCCCTAATCCCCACATTGTTCAAGGGTCAAATGTAGACCAAGAGCTCTGATGGACAAAGGGCAAACTGGAAATCTGCGGGGTCCAGGAGGCTTCTAGAGATTCTGTGGTCCTGAGAGGGATGAGTAGGGGTTCTCTTAATCTCTTTCTTTTGTGTGTTAACAGTAAAAATCTTTGAGTTCAACCCAAACAGGGAGAGGATCTGGGTCAGGACCATGGAGGATAAGTAAGAAGCTGACAGCTTCCCTTCGATCTGGCTCAAGAGTCCAGAAAGAGAAACAAAGGAAAGGATTCATTTTCTTCTATGTTTTTCACTCCATGTCACAGGTAAGGGAAGGAAGAAGGAAGCAGGGACAGCAGGTCTTACATCTTACCAGAATTCATGTTTCTTATATCTATTACACATAATCACAGTGAAATAAGTGCAAGAGGCAGAGGAATGATTTCTACAAAATTAATGCTTCAGGCTTTCTCACTTGAAATGGTCCTTCTGAAGACCTGGGAGGCACTTTAGCAAATTTTTATTTATAGTTTTGATGCTATCAAATTAACATAGACATGTGTTTATACAATTACATGCATATGCATTTAAGCAGATGTGTGTGTCATATATATACTTGTCTTTTACATAAATTTAAAATTTGTATTTCCTAAGCAATCCGTTAGTCACTAGACTTGAAAGTACTTGGTAATCAAGGGCTTCAAGTATTCTGCTTTGAAAAAGCAATTCTAGCCACCTACATACAATTCTGTAGAAGTGTTTTATATTTAGTTGCTTTGCAAATACTTTTTAAATTCACTGATTTATTTAACTCTTTTGCTCTATACCAGAGGCAGCTATTTCAGGAAATTGGGAGCGAGTTCTTAAAGTGTCACATATATGACCTCTAATTCCATCCTCATCACAATATCAATAACATTGTCCACCCTTTACTGATGTGGAAGTGAGAGTTCAGGAAGGTTAAGTGTTCATTCAAATTTACTTTACTATCAACAGGCAAAGATGGAATTTATACTCAAGGGTGTCTAATTCCAAAGTCCAAGTTTATTCTTTTGTCTAAAATTGGCTATCTTCTTCTAAAACAGGAGTCAGCAAATTATGTCCCACTGACCAAATCCAGCTCACTTCATGTTTCTTTATAACCCACAAGTTAAAAAATGGTCATTACATTTTCAAAAGCTGAAAAAATAAAGAGAATATTTTTGCAACCCCTCAATTACATGAAATTCAAATTTCAGTGTCCCTGAGTGAAGTTTCATATGAGCTGCCACACGTATTCGTTTATGCCTTTTCTATGGCTCCTGTACTACAGTAGCAGAGCTGAGTAGCTGTGACGGAGATCAGCTGCCTACGAAGGCAGCTACAAAGCCCTTTATAGAAGCAGTTTGCTGACTCCTGTTAAAACATCTATAACGATAAAGATTATTTGAAATTACAATCCTCTCCAGAAGAAATGTGATACAAGATCTTCAACAAATACAACTTTAAAAAAAGTCAGTTCCTGTATATTTCATATACAGGACCAAAACTTCTAAACAGAATAATTTTCCAATGAACAGTTCATACAAACTTTCAAGTATATGCTTACTATAAGAATTTCTTGATGTTCTCAGCTTTCAATTCATCCAAAAATGCCTTCTTCATATTATGCTCTGGAACAGTATTAGCTTCATTGGAGGATTTTATAAACCACCCTGTAAAATATATACAAATATAGGAATGAGATTATCAGCTCACAGACAGGACCTATTCTTCCTTATTATTGGATCTATCACATCTAAAACACAAATTATCAACAACTGCCTTGACTGAGATTTTTCTGAAGTTTAAATGTTCTTGCCTACTTCCACTGGAAGAAAATCATGCCAACAGACTTTAAAATTACAAAGCAATCACAACATATTTTTTAATCCAATTTCAATGATAGGTTAGTCTAAGCGATGCTTTATGAGGAAATTAGCACTAAAATTAAATGTTGAAACTAATGGAGTTAAACAAGATCTCCTGAGATGAAGGCAAAAGGGAGATCCACCTCCTTGTGCCTTCAAGCTTCTGTCCAGTGCCTGCTCTCTGCTGACTCAGAAGCATTCAGTAGATCTTTATCATGAATTAATTATGAATATATTTCAAGTACATAAATTATTTCAAAGAACTGAAGGAAACAGAGTTGCAATTTGTGTCGGTTCTGAAACTAAAACAAAATGTGTTGAGTTGTTGTTTCCAGTTGAAGTAGGCTTGAGAAATTTCACTTTAGAAAGCTACAGTGAAACTACAGTTCACTCAACATCCCAACAATCATCCAGTGTGCAGAGGCCAGAGGCACTCAGTGGACACAGAACACTTTGCCCTTGAAGTTGGTTTTTTATCTGAGGTAAGTGGTCTATCATTGCAGGGTATATTTAGAGAAACGGTATTATTTGGACATAAAACAGTTAACCACATCAACCAGCGAGCTTTTCTGGAACTTTCCAGTTATTAACCTCATATACATATGCTTATGGATATATACCTTCATATTGAAATAAATGGTCAGGAACAAGTGGAAATACAATTCCACCAGTGCAAAAAACAAAGGGACTTGGATTGGATTGTGGGATCTGGGAAGGACACACCTAGCATGAAATGCTTGAATTGAGAGCTGAAAAATGAACAGGATGGAGAGGATGGAGGTCTGAGGGGGAGGGGAGAGCTGAGACTCCTCGGGGAGGGGGAAAAACGAACACACCAAGAGGCTGACCTATTCTGTGTAAGCCATTGAGTGAATACAAGAACAGGGCTGAGAGCAATACCAGGAAGAATAAAATGCCTTTAAGAGATCCCGAAGATTCTATTCCCGGTTCCAACCTTACCAAGTCAATTTCCCATTTTTACAGGTAAACTCAATTTGAAATGTGTACTCATTGAGTATTTACGTCATATTAAGCCGACAACAACGTAGGTGGTTACTAACACCCACACCATGAGGAGATGGTGGCTCAAACGTCTTTCAGCAACCCCTAAAGTTCACACAGCAAGCAAGAAGAGCTACTTGGGTCAACCGAGCTGGTCTATGCCCTGGCCTTCCAAATCGCAGAGAGGGGATCCGGATTTCAGAGCAGGACCCGGCAGTACGTTAGATGAGTCCTGTGCTCCAAGGTCGGATTAGAAGGATCTCCTCACCAGGAAGGAATAAAGAAGAGTGCCGATACCCCAATACTGTGCTAAGAGCTCCGGGTGCTATTTCGTTTACTATTCCCAATTTCTTCCTCATAAAGATGGAAAAGCAGGCTAGGAGGGACCCGGTAACTTGTTGAAGGCTAAAAAGTAGTGGCAAAGTAAAAATTAGAATTTAGAAGAACCTGCACTTGTCTGTGCTGCCCCCTGGTTTGCTTCGAGTTTGGTTGTCTACAAATCAGTACCCAGGGGCCACAGCCAAAGACCTGCCGGGAAAGGACGGCTCGGAGCGCTGACAGTAATATCTGCTAGTTTCCCAGTGCTCCTCCAAGTATGCACTCCCCAAGACGAAAGAACTTGGGGCGAAAAGGGCTCCCACGCAGCAGTGCCCTGACGTCTACCGACTGTATGCATGAATACCTACTGTATACATACACCGTATGCAGGCGCCGACTAGACAAAGACCCCAAACAGGTCAGAGGCATTTCCTGCAAAGCTTCCTGGACCACCAAGTTCAGCTGCCCCAGACATCTGCCGCTGTCCTAAAACACCGATTTCTCGCACGGCTCGAGCGGGTGCACCCTTCTCAAGTCCCATCGCGGGGTCTCTCCGTCCTAACCCTCCCCTGAGTGACGGTCCCACAACAGCGGGGCCAGCACCCCCAGCGCTCGGCCCCCAGCGCCCACCCACCTAGCTGCCCGGGGCTCCGCCCCTCCTTCCCCCTCCCCGAAGCCCGCCCCGCGGCGCGCACGGCCGGGCGCGGGTGGGCTCCGCGTCTGCTGGGCGCGCGCCCCTACCGAAGAGGAAGCCGAGGGTGAAGAGGCCGACGGTCAGCGCCAGCGCCCCGACGCACAGCCAGCGCGGCCGGCGCCCCGCGGCCGGGGCCGAGTGGCCGTCGTGAAGGGGGTTCCACATGCCGGCGCGGCCCGCGAGGCCTCCGGGCGCCCTGCGCCTCCGCTCTGGGCCGCCAGCGCCCGGCCGCGGCGGGCAGACGCCAGCTCCGGGGGCCCGCGCGCCTCCCCCGCGCCCGGCGCCGCCGCTCTCCCGGCCCGGTGAGTCCCCGCCCTGGAGGTGTTCCCGCCTCGCCGAGCCAATCCCGGCGCGCGGCCGGGGGAGCCAGACCCGGCCCCTGGGGAGAGGCTCTTAAAAAAAGTTAGTCTTGAAAGTGCCCAGCTCTTGCCGATTTAAAAAGGAAAAGGGGGGGAAAAGGAGGGAAGGAGGGAAGGAACGGTAGAGGAAGGAAGGAATTACTCTCCGACCGACATCTCATAAGCAGAAAGAGAACTCCTCGAGGATTTTTCTTGTACTTCAGTAAAAAGCTCCTCTTTTGTCTGCCTAGGAAAAGATACGCACCTGGCTCCAAACCAGTAGGTAGAATAGACTCAATCAGCTCCCAAGAACTTTGTGTTTTCAGCTCTGCAATCCTATTAAATATTTTATAGCACTCCAATGAGTAAAGTCAAGTAGAAAAAGCTGGTGTGCAGTTCTGGCGCTGTTCTGGAGAGTTCGAGGCGCTGGCATCCTTGCTGGGCTCTTTCTTTTAATATCATTGGTACTAATAAACTTTTAGAGAAGTATTCCCTCTTTACATAACAAAACTGTTTTTAAAGAAATCACATGGTGCTTGTAGGAGTCAGAGACGTCTTCCATTTTCCTATCTCAGATGTGCTTGGCATTATCTCACACTGTATCTACATATTAAATCAGTCTTTGTTGAAGTAACCTGATGATTGATTGAGTCACACGTAATTGTATACCGGTTACAAAGTAGAAAAAAATAATAATGGTATCTAGAGGGAGAGAATAACCACATGCTTTATAAAATCCATTGCATTTTTATCATCCATGAGGGCGACTTCATGTATGGACTCTAGCTAGGAGTGTGTCATGGAAGCATAGAATTTAACAGAGCCATAAAGTTGAAAACAGGGTTTCAATCAGTGGAGAGGAGAATAAACTTTTTGGGAGCCAGAGGGGGAGACAAAGGTAGAAGACTTCGGCAATGTTAATAGTAAATAATTTGGGGAAAGGGAAAGAGTGAAGAGATACAATGTTAGATTGTAAAGAATCCTGGGTACTTTGATGAAGAATTTCTGAGCAAAGTGAAGAAATGAGGGAAAATTAATCTGCCAACAGTGGACCAAGACAACTCCTAGATGGAGAGGAAAGGATGGAGTTTCCTAATCCCTTTCTAACAATATCCTGTCCTTGTGGAATGTCTCCTAATGTTCTTATTGCCAAATCTGACGAGGAATGACAGAAGAATAATCAGTGCTGGATACTTATTGTAAACATGCAGCTTATCTACATTAATTCATTTAGTCATCATTGGAACCCTTCATAGTTGGTACTAAAGCTCTTCCTATTTTATCTATAGGAAAAATGAACTTTAATAGGATTAAGTAAATCACCCCAAATCACGAAGGTAAAACATAATCCAATGTCTGCCCTACTCTCATCTACTGTGTTGCCTCCACTGAGCATGGGATACATTTGCTGAGAGCTTTTGCTTGTGGTATTGAGAGGAGTACTGAGCTTGGCGTCAGGAGTCTTAGACTTAAACTTTAGATCTGGTCCTGTGTAAGCTGTGTACCCTTAGCAATCACATATTCAATTTACTTGAATATATCTCCTCATCTGTAAAATATAGGTTCATCTAATAACGTTATTAAGTACTCTCCACTAATGGAGATGTTTTGAAGGTCAAATGTGACTGTGAATGAGGTGAATTATATTCTTAAATACCAGAAGGGTTTTTTGAACCGTGTTAGAACGACCTAACAATTTAATTAGTAGCCTTTCTGGTGAGGTAGGCTGCATTTGCAGAAATCAGAGAATGAGTGAACCTCTGTCACATCTTACAGAAAGGATCCTTCATTCCCTTAACTTCCTCAGGAAAAAACAACTTCAGTATTCCCTGGTTTCTACTTAAAACTTAAACACAGCATTCTGAACTCTAAATTGCACACTAAAAAGCATACCTGAGGAAGATAAGAATTTTTACTTCTCCAAGTGATTTTATATGTTTAAAAATTTTTTTCAGTCTTTTAAAATTGGAGGGCAGCTATATGAACATATACATTTGTCAAAGTCTTTGAACTATACATCTAAAATATGTGCATTTTATTGTATATAAATTATACATCAAGAAAATTGATTAAACAATAAGGGCATAAATGAGAATATTTCTTAATGATTTCTGTAAATTCTCCTAACAGAGTAATTCTCATTCTCCTTCACCTAACTAGTGAAATCTTTGCAGACAAGCTTCTTTGGTTTGAATTTGGAGAAGTAAAAAACTTAGCTTTGCTCTTTCCAATCTAATGATGGGATAGATGATAAAAGGACATTGTAAAGAAAAATATGTTTGTAATATTTAGTAAAATATAGGGTTTTTTTCCTGTTAACTTTTATTACTAAAATAAAACATGCTTTATATAGGACATGTGTAAAGAAATATAGGAAGTAAGAAGCTTAAACAATCTCTTACACCCTGTCCCTACACCATATCACCCTCCAGAGGTAAGTACTGGGAATATTTTGCTACTAATCCTTCCCCAGGATTTTTCTGTGCACACATATGATACTTCAAAAAATACAAAATGAGATCATGCTATGCCTTTATTTATTTTTAAAGAAAGCTTTCAGTTAATGCTATAGATATAATCATATAGTTTATATAGTTGACCCTTAAACAATATGGGAGTTAGGGGCACCAACCCTCTGCATATCCACATATAACTTTTAACTCCCCAAAAACTTAACTACAAATAGCCCACTGTTGACCAGAAGCCTTACTGATAACCTAATAGTCCATTAACATATTTTGTATGTTGTATGTGTTATATACTGTTTTCTTATAATAAAGTAAGATAGAGAAAAGAAAATGCTTTTTTAAATTGTCACAAATCTCCAAAAAATTCTCCAGTGTGTTTATTGAAAAAAAATCTGCATATGAGTAGATAGACTGCACAGTTCAAACCTATGTTGTTCAAGGGTCAACTGTATACTTTTATGTTGGGCTTCTTTCACTCAGAATTACATTTGTGAGATATTTCAGTTCTGTGCTATATGAATTAGCTTTGCCAAGAAAGGGAAAGCCCTGACTTGTGAAATTTCCTGATTTCCATGATTATTCTCACTGTGGCAGATTTCACACTAGCAAGATGATATAACTGAATGTGCAGTTGGAAAGAGATGCCTGTATAATGCCTCTTGTAAGCTGGTAGGAGCAGGCCCCAGCATACCACTGAGCTGTATTTTTCCTTGTAGCAATAGTTTATTCATTCTCAGTGCTATGGACTAACCAGTTGTACAAATATGCCACAATTTATTTCTCCATTCTCCTCCTGATAGTTATCCAGATTGTTTACAGTTTGTGACTCTTAGGCATTGTACTACTGTTAAAATTGGCAGTTAGTTAGACACAAACAGGAGAAAAGGGCCAGCCCATCACCAAAGAATACCTCTCCTGGCCAGCCTCTAAGCACTTCTTAGTTCCCAGTTCCAAACAAACGTTTGGACAAAGACACCTAGTTGGTCAAAGACACCTAGTTTATCAGGAGGCCCAGACAGTCAAGGACACCTAGACTGTCAAGAGGCCGGAGACTACAGGGGCTTCCCTGATTACAGGGCATGCGCAAGGTCCAATGACCTTGTCCAAAGTAACCCCACCTCATTAAAATAATATCTAAATCTAATTACCATTGTGGTTTTGTCCCCTGTAGCCTTCACTTAGGTACTTACGGGTAAGATGACTGCACACTGAGAAAAAGGTTATATAACCTAGAGCTATCAATCAACCTGTCAATCAAATTACATAAGACACAGGGCAGGACTTTGTGCCACCTTCATAAAAGCCAGCCTACCCCAATAGCAGGGCTGCATCTGGTTTCCAGACAGCCCACAGTCCTTTGTCTGGAGAGTATACTTTTCACTTTAACCCAATAAATTCCTCTTTGCTTTTTTCTTGCTATCTGATCTCTTGACTGAATTCTTTCCTTCAAAAAGACAAGACTTTAGAAACACAACTCATTCCATTGGCAACACTATTATGAACATTCTTGTGCATATCTTTGGAGATCATATATGTTTATTTCTGTGGATATATATCTAGAAGTCATAGATTTATGTTCAGCTTTAGTAAACAATTCTAACCACTCTTACCAACAGTGTATGTGAAATTCCGATTCCACCACATCCTTGCCAACTAAATTCTATTTCTCCGTCAGCTACTAAAATGAAGCAGCAGCTTTTCCTACATTTGTTGCCCATTTGTGCTTTTACATTTTTGGAGTGATTGTTCAAATGTTTTGTCCAATTTTTTATTGGGTCCTTTGCTTTTTACTTTTTTGTTTTCTAGGAATTTTTATATATACCTATGCCTATAATTTTGCAATGATTGTTTTACTCAGTAATACAGATTTTCATATCAGTATATAAATTATCTCCTCTATTGTTTCTACTAGCTTTATAGTATTTTAAAGAATGGTTATGAAAATGGAATTTTTTGTTCTTGAGTACCGACAGTTTCAATGCATAGCTGATTCATGTTAAGAATTTAATATATTGAATCAAAGCTGAAATCTGTCCTAGAAAGTAGCACTAGGAATATTGTCACAAAAAAACATTTAAAAAGAAGGAGTGGCCCTTAAAGAACTTGAAGAATGAAAAGCAGATGAAGTAGCAAGGGCTTTTTTATTCCATGCAAAGTAGAATAATCAGAAAATGTGAGGGATTTTAGTGTGATAAACAAGGTGAGTGTGATTTGTATGGGACAAAGGAAAAAGTGTTGAGATTTGTTTGGAGTATAAAAATAAGAACTCAGCCAGAAGTTGATTGGCAATAAATATTGGCAAAAGTCACAGTTTTGAAGGTGTGTAGTGGAAATTCTGAGAAAACTAAGAACTCAGCCACAAGTTGTTTGGCAATAAATATTGGCAAAAGTCACAGTTTTGAAGGTGTGTAGTGGGAATTCTGAGAAAACTACTTTTATTAAGGCCTAACTGAAGGGAATTGATTTAGCAT